CTGCAGGGGAAGGAAGTAATAACTACTTGGACGGCCCTTTTTATTCTTTTTTTTTTCTTTGAGTTGAGAAGTTGGCTAAGCTGAAATGCACAGTAAGTGGAAGGGCAGCAGATGGCATGGCTTTCTGCGTGTGGCATGCTGAGTAGTTCAGCCCTGAGGCTGTATGTGACAAAATTCTGTCAGTCATCCGCTCGGCCTCATCTAGGGAGGATTGGGTAACCCCCCCAGTCCAGGATTTAGAGGGGGAACGTAGCATTCGAGGCTGGGAATGTGCATCAAAGTGATGTCAAAATCTTATCCAAACAGAAAAAATCCTGCCAGCCTGCCTGAAAGGCCTTGGAGCACTTGCTGGCAAATCAGTAAGAGACTGTATACAGGGAGCAGAGATAAAACAGTGTAGCTGGGGTTGTCACTTGATTTTGCAGGAGCTGACTTTATCACCAGCTCCAAGGGAAAGGCCCTGGAATTCAGGGCAAGCACAGAGGAGGGGCCCAGCCCACACTCCCAGCTGCATACGGTGCTTTCAGGAAGGTCCTCTTGAGAGAAGAAGGGAAGAGGGTCTGTTAACTTCCATGGAAGGAGATCTTTTCTCTATTCCCTCCTCTTACCACAGGATTCGCCAGGAAGACTTTCATCTCCTACACCGTCACCTTTGGCGACAGCTTCCGACAAGGCAAGGTGGTGGGCATAGACCCCGAGAGGCAGCAGGTCCTGCTCAGCGATGGCGAGGTGGGTGATGCCGTGCCTTGTCAGGGTAGCTTGGCTGACTTACCTGGAAGTCAGTCTGGGTGCCATATCTCCTACAGTTTAGGTCAGCCAAGCACATGAACCTGCTCCACACAGCACCCCAGGCTCAGAGCTCACACGTACAGCGGGTCCTGTTCTGACGTAAGCCTCACTTTGGCTGAAATATCTGATCCCAAACAAGCCCCGGTGCGGGCCCTTTGGGCAGGCACTGAGCAATGAAACCAGTGGCCTCCTATGGAGAACTGCCAAAGAGAAAAGCAGGCTCCCAGTCATCTCTTCTAAAACCTAAAAGCTGTGTCTGCTAATAGCATGGCATTTAATCGTCCTTGTCAAGCCTGGAAACAGACCATCTTCCCCTTCTTGCGTGGAACAGCAGGATCACCTCTACCCAAGATCAGTGGCCTAGGGTTGTGCTGAATTACAGGTGTGCTGTAAGCACTCCATCCCATCTAGTACTGAGATAAGCTTTTATTCTCAGGGTTGGATTTGGAGCTCAGATAACCCTGAAGCTCAGATCCTTATCTAACCACAGGAGGGAAAAAAAAAAGGCAAATATTGGCAACAGCTCTGGGAGCTCTTTTCAGCCAAAGCATCTCACCTCTGTTCAGAAGGGAGTGAAGGAGGGAAGTCAGCATGCGCTTGTGCCCGTCTGGACTCTGAGTTCAGCACTTCAGCTGCGGTGGCAACCTCTACTGGCACAGCAGTTGCCTTATTTCCTGTAAGCTTCTAGTAGATTCTTCACAGCACTGGGCTCATCTGAAGATCAGCATGCCTCTCAGACCCTGAGGAAGGCAGTTACGTGGCTTCAGCTGGATCAGATCTCTTAAAGCCACTTTCTGACAGTGGCAAATATTTTCCTATTTATCAGTGGAGGCTGGTGGAGATGGAATGAGTAAATAGTACCTAGGAGGCAACAACTGTGTTTTAGGCTCTCATTTTACAAGGTCTAACATCTTGTCCAACCCTGTGCCCCCTCAGGAGCTTCACTACTCCCACCTTATTCTTGCAACTGGCAGTGATGGACCATTCCCTGGGAAGTTCAACAAGGTCATTGACATGGAAAGCGCCATCCAGACCTACGAAGACATGGTTAAGGAGGTGAGGGACCGATTTTCTTAGGAAGCACTGCTTGCCTTAGTTGAGCTTGAGTAACATCAGTTTCTTCTTTATTTCAAGATTGAGAAATCTGAGCGCATCGTGGTAGTGGGAGGTGGTGCTGCTGGTGTCGAGATGGCTGCAGAGATCAAAACAGAGTACCCAGCCAAAGAGGTAGGAACATATTAATTATATTTCGCTTGTCTCTGAAGCTGTTCTTCTTCCGTGGTCCTGCTGGAGGTATTGGAGATCACTGCAAGGCAGGAGGTTCCAGACAATGCCTTTTCTTTTAAGAGCACCCAGTACGTGCAACTGTTGGCACTAAATGCCCTTCACTAAGCTCAGTCTCCCTGGGCATTAGGCAGTGTGGAAGGAAGCTGTCCGTTGCTGCTCCCACATGCAAGGTGTCCCATACCATTCACATTTGCCCATTTGCTGTTTTGTCGCCAACAGGTCACCCTCATTCACTCAAAAATTGCACTAGCTGATGTAGAGCTGCTACAAAGCGTCCGTCAGGAGGTGAAAGAGATTCTCCTCAGGAAAGGAGTTCGCCTCCTATTAAGTATGTACTTAACAATGCCTTTGAAGACCTAGACTCTGACACCCTCCAAGCTGCTCTTCCTTTGGCCACAGCACCTCTTTTTGATGACCTATTGCCCATTTAATTTTCTGGGGACTAAGCATGGCTCCCTTGAATTCCTGTTTCTCTACAAACATCTGGGCGAGCTGGAAACAGCAGCTGAGTAAAGGCCTGTTACCCAGGGCTCTCTGTCACAACAGGTGAGAAGGTCAGCAACGTGGAAAATCTCACAACGAACCAGTTCCAGAAGGACATGGTAGTAAGGACAGAAAAGGGCACAGAGGTTGTTGCTGATATGGTGGTCCTGTGCACGGGGATAAAGATTAACTCTTCAGCATATGCCACTGCGTTTGGTAAGTGAAAAGCTGCTGCACAGAGGGAAGCATAGCAGGTCCTCAGTGTCTTCTGCTCGAGTTTTTCTTGACATAGCAAACGCCCTAACATCATGTTAAATACTTAGCTGTGAAATGTGAACGTCAGAAACTTACAGATGACAAGGCCCCCAGTCTTCTCCACTCCTTTTGCTAATACCTCCAAGCGCCCTCGTCCAGCACCAGGTAGATTACACCTCATAGTCAATGGTAATTCCTGCTGCCAAGGGCAGGATGTCATACTTGCTTGACCCTCCCTCAAGTCATGTATGCTAGCTGCTAATCATGCCATGTTTCCACCAAAATACCAAGGAATAACTCACTCATCAGAATGTTAATAATTACCTATTACAAGACAGAAAGCATCTCTTGCCTCACACGTAGAAAAAAAGAGTGAAAATCTTAACGCTTCACTTTGTGTCATTGACACATCGATAACAACGGCATTTTGGGGTCTCAGGCCACAGCACACAACACCAAACTCTTTCTCAAAACTTACTGTTTTGCCAAACAGGAGACAAAGTGGCGAGTAATGGAGCTTTGAACGTTAACAAGCACCTCCAGGTGGAAGGCTATGACAACATCTATGCCATTGGGGACTGTGCAAACCTGAAAGAACCAAAGATGGCATACCACGCTGGGCTGCATGCCGACGTCGTAGTGTCAAATATCATCAACAGCTTGACACACAAGCCGCTTAAAACCTACCAACCAGGTAACATCATCTTAGTGCTTGGCTTTAGCTGTTGAGCTGCTTTTCTGCAGGGAACAGATGTTTTAAAACTTGCCTGGGATACTAATTGAGGTGAAGGAACCCACAGCTGGGGTTGGCTATATAGGTTTATAGCTCAGGCTTCACCTTAGTTCTTGCCAAAGACACTGTAGAAGTTGATTACCTGTGTCAATCTGCATATGCAACATCTCCTTTCTTCACTGCTGTCTTCCTGATAAATATACTGGCAGGTTTCAGCCATTCATCAACCCTTAAGTTGCTTACCATCCAATTAAATCCTAAGAACGAGGAGAGGACTTGACTTTCCCCTCCATTCTCTTAAACTATAACACAAAGTGAAAAATTCAATCTGAAAGTAATTCTAGTTAGGTGATGAGTCTCACTGATAAGTAACCCATTTGAAAATACTGTAACTATTCTGAAAGCTGCTCTGCGTGGATGGAAGATACCTGGGCAAACATTTGTTTTTTCAAAGGTTTCCCAGTCTACTTACATTTATTTCTACTGCAGTTTTATTGTCTGCCTCTTGGGAGGACAGTCTTCCCCGCTCCATTGTGCACTTCCATCACAACAGAAGAGCCTGAACAGAGAGTGGCTCTGTATATGTACATTCAGTATTTAGCTGTGAAACTGGTAACTTAAACTTCTGCCTCTTCTTCCCAGGATCACTGACATTCCTGCTTTCAATGGGTAAGAATGATGGTGTAGGCCAGGTGAACGGATACTACGTGGGACGCCTCCTAGTGACCATTGCTAAAAGTCGGGGCCTGTTTGTCTCAAAGAGCTGGAAGACGATGGGACAGACAATGCCCTCTTAAGAGGGGATGGGAAATGAACTAGTGAGGAATTCAACTGCTGCAAGAAGGTGAAGGTGCACTTTTACTGCTTAGAGAGTTGCTGTCTCCTGCAGCACCTCCTGAAGCTGTTCTTCAGTGTAATGCATTAAAGGAGTGTTATTGTAATGGGTAGAGAGGCACTTTCTAAGTTAATCTGCACCAAAGTTCTCACTGTAACAAAGGAAGGGCTGTTTCTTTTCATCCTCTGTTGAGACAGCTCTGGGCAAGAAACCTGGTTTACCTTAATTTGTAACAATAAACACTATGGTTTTCAAAACATTAGTGGCTTGTTTATTATGTGGGTTTTTCCTGGCTTTCTCTACTCTAGCTTCTAAAAAGTCTCTGCGTATTACTTGGGTACAGTGACTGTGAAAAGCCTGCCTACAGCCCTGAAAAGGCTCCAGTAATGATGGAACTCAACAGAATATAATGCAGCTTTGTGTCAGCCTCTCCACAGCAGCTTTAATTATGTCATGGCACTACACTTCTGCCAGAAGCTGGTTACTCGTGTCATAAGTGTGCTACATAAGTATTCAGTTTCAGATGTTTCCTTTCCCCACCCCCTTCCTCCCCCCTTAAGGTGACAAATTTTCAGAGCAAAATGAGGTTCATAACAATAATCACACTTCACAAATCTTTTTCTTTTTTTCTTATAAAACGAACAAAAAAAAAAAATCACCATGAAATATTCTCAGTAATTACAGAGATTATTGTGAGTAAAAAGCAAAACAGAAGCTCCTCATGCATCACTTCTAATATCTCTTTCCCCTCCACTGTGGGCTGGAGGAAAAGTTTAACATCCACCCTCAAGGGAGGAGAAAAGGGAGCAGAATATTTTTAAGAGCTTTCTCTAAAGTGTGTGCATGAAAACTTCATCACTACAAATCTAAAATGAAGTTACTCTTTATAAACTTCTAAACTAAAGTAACAAGGGACACTAAAACTCCTGAAAAGAGATGGTAACTCAATTGCTGAAGGTGGCACAAAGGGCTAGAAGATGCTGACAGCGCAAAGAAATCAGACTAAACCCCTCTCATCTCTAGTCACAGCTCTTCATCAAGTCACAACACATCACACTACTACCACTCCCCCTCCTCACCACATTGAAAAAATAAAACCCACCTCTAATGCTTTTAATGCTACTCAAGTTTGTTGAAAAATAAAGTTTCATTTGGCTGCTGTTGCTACTTAGTGTCTAGCTTGGCCATTTCTTGCACGTAGATGCCAATACTTTCACTGTCAAACAGCAGAAAGTAAATGTTCTTCAGGGAGGAAGAGCTGGTGCCATCAAAATGGGTGGAAATAGCTCTGAGAGTCACCTGGGCCACTGTCTGTTTTGGGAAGCAGTTTCTATGTGATAGGGGAAGAAAACAAAACAAGAGGGCGTCAGTCACCTGCACAAGCTTTATACACATGTAATGCTGAAAGCCATAAAGCACAGCTGTACTCACTGCAGCCTGCTGTTAACAGTGTTAGCTGCAGTTTTAAATAAACCCCAGAGATAACTAAGAAAAAAAAAATCAAGTTAATTAAATTAATCCTAGACACACAGACACTATTAGGAAAGAGCAACAACTGTGCCAATGAGGCTTATGTACGATTTCTTACTATTTTTCCTAGTTATCACAGTTCTACAGTTGGTTTGAAAGTTGCCTTTTTAATGTTGAACTTTTAAGAAAGGGTGGTTTTCTTTTGAAAGAAAAGATGCGTGTGACTAGCCTTTTTAATATATACTCTTGGGATGACTTAAGTAAAGATATCCCATTCACCTAGCTCCTGTTGCATCACTGTTATTCAACTTCACTATGATGCCAGTGTAATCTTGTCAATATCAGTAGAGTTTTAGTGAGATTCATCACAGTAAAAGGAAGGGACATAAAACTGGAGATGGTACAGGCCCAGAGTAGAAGAATGGAAGCCACTCACAACAGAAAACACAGCTCTCCTGAGAGTTAGCTAATTCCCTCCATCAAGGCTATCACAGCAGCAGCTCCAATAGCTCATTACACAATCGTTACACAATGCAGAATCCTCTTACACAGGAAAAGCCATACCTGCCACTGGGAAAAGGGGGGAAAGCCACAGACTTCAACTTCTTGTCTTCTGCAGCTGTTAAGCAGTTCTTGATGGTCTCCTCAAGCTGCTCTTCACACTTGTCCGACCCCCACTGCGGGATGTGACAGTGGATGACAAACTTTGCTGCTAGCCCGCTGGACTGAGTAAGTGCAGCTACCACAAATGAAAACAGAACAGTTACTTTTGAGTAGAAAACTCAATCACTTCTCAATTGAGTCACTTCAATCTAATCAATCATCTCAGTCTTTCTTCATGACATTACCTCTTCAAAAGAAATCCGTGAGGAATTAAAGAAGCCACAATGACTCACTCGCAATCATAATCTGTAGTGTCATTACTTGTGTGATCAATTACTATTGCTTTGAGGACAGAGGAACCCGGGGTTCATTTGATCAGCAGTTTTTCAGTGGTGATGAAAGGCTCTCTCATTCAGCATGGCCTCTGGATATTTTCTTTAATGTGCAAGCTGTTGAAACCTCACCCTGAACTCAGCATCGTTAATTCCCCAACAGACATTTCTGCAGTGCTGCCACAGCCTCATCTGAATGCTCTGCGCAAATCCTGCATCATCATTACAGTTCCAGAGCATGATGGAGCAATATCTGGACCTCCTTCACAGCTAGGCAATTTCAAACAACCATCTGAAAAATCAAAGATGTTTACTGAAAGTATCCACCAGTTATGTCCAATTTGAAAATAGCACTTCTAAAAATCTGGGTCTTGGGAATCTCACATTGAACACCCAGAAATTAGGTGTACAATTAATATCCAAAAAGTGAAGAATGTGGATCTAGACCCCCATCCACCATCATGGAGGAATTCTATCTACTGCTTCACCGTGCTCCTTACATTTCAAGCAGAAGAAAACTTTAACCATAAGGAGAAAACTGATTAAAAACAACACAGGTATCCTGTGAACAGCACTTGAATTCAAGGCCTGTTGGGCTGGAGCTCAAGTGTTTGCAGTAGATCTCCAGTGATAAAAACCCATTTATTATTACTTGCCTCAAAACCAGTAGAAGTGGTAACTTCAAACACACCAACACAACAGTGTCTGTCTGACAGAGTACAATTTTCCATCCATTAAGCTAAGATTATCTTCTTTCCTGGAACTAGCTAAAAGGAATCTATTTTCTAGCTCTTTTGTAATTTGTATTTCAGCAATGTAGCTGTAATGCCTGGGAGAAGAGCACCAACTGCTCTTCAAAACACACACCAGTTTTTGTGATTATATCACTTCTACCTTTATTTGTGTGCAAAGTAAGGTAGTTGCTCTGGTTATATTGTTCAGTATAAAGCAGGGTATTTTATAAATTACTGTTCTTCATACAGCTCATAGGTTAGGCTGAGAGCTGTTTCTAATTCTCACTAAGAAATGTGGTGCAAACAGGAGAGGAAAGATGGCACAAAAGTGAAAGCAGAAGTTTCCCTTAAGTTTAAGGCTCCCACAGACAGGAATTGCCTGCTGGAACTTACGGTGGTGCTTCAAAGCACAAAGACAGGATGTACACAGCACAAAGGTATCCTACTCCTCTTCCTTTCCCCCTCAACTCCCTGTCCTCAAACAGACTGTCCATACCAGCAACAACTTAAAGGAAGAAACAAAAACACATCACATAAGCAAAGGCACATATGTAATCAAGAACAGATTAGAATGTCAAGAGAAAAGAAAATATGGGATGAGTCTTTTCCAGCTGGGCATTTTTTTATTTTTATTTTTATTTTTTACCTTCAGCAACTTCCAAAGGCCCTTGAGATTTGCGAAGCTCCTTCACTGTTTCTAAAAACTCTTTCCCTCCTGCCTTTTCCAAAGCCTTGCCTGCAAGGACACAGAACAAATAGGCCTTATTTTCACATTACCAGCAAAATAAAAATCAAACCAACAAAAATAAAACCAAACCAATAACTCTATGTGATTTAAAAGAAAAAAACACTGCACATACTGCCATGTTTTCCTCTTTGAGCAGCAGTTGATGTTTATGACAAAGTTTACTTATTACTGGTTTTGAAAAACCTGCAAGGACATTTCTGCTGGCTTGAGTAGCAGTCCCACTCTTCACAACATACAAACCCCAGTACTTTCCTGAAATCATTTCTCAAATGATCATATAAAACAACGATCCAAAAAGCCAACCTTAGAACTGCTTTGTCTGCATGCAGCACAGCCTCACCTATTTCCTCCTTGAGGTCTATTTCGGCAGTCGTGGGGTGAACAATGCCTTCTACTTTCATGGAGCCAATATGGCTGATGTCACTCTGTGTCAGAGAAAGCTGCAAGATAAGGATAAGAGTAGAAAGAAACAAATTAGTAATACGTGTGAAATATTTTTCACACCGAAAAAAAAGGACCTGGATTCACAATTTGCACAGTTTTATTGCGTTCAGTATGTCTGATTCTGATTTTCAGTCTTTAGTATGTACACTGCTCAGATTGTTTCATGTTGTACCCATAGCTTGGATGCCTGCCTAAGAGGAAAGTACTGCTATTGGATTCATGTTCTACCATCACAGTTTAAAAAAGAAATGCTGACTTTGGTTACTCTTTTGTTTAAAAACTCTCCTTCTTAGCGAGTACAGAAGGGGAGGAGGGTTAAAAAAAAAGAAAAATAGTCTGTTTGTTCTTATAAATAATGAACAGCTTAGAAGGTTGAACCCATTTTGGCACTATGCTAGACACAACTCAGCCAAGTCCAAACCGAACAGAATTCTGCTATAGGTCGAGTCATGAAATTAACCAGTATGGCTCTCTAGAGAAGAGAGGTTGACCAGCACTATTCTCATGAATCTTTTATCTGCAGACAAGTTTTTGAGACCGTCTGCCCACCTGTGACTCAAGTGAGTTCTGGTCTTACATTTGGGATCACTTAGGAAGAAGGTGAAGACTTTTTACTGCTGTTAGATCTAAAGCAATACTCTGTTTATGCTAGGCTCCACTGCTATAATCCCAGTCTGTTACATTATAATTTGTATTACCTTTTGTCCTGGCACGAGGCTCTTGGAGGACAAGATGGTGAAACCATCCCCAGGTCCATCTTCAGATGTTGAATTTGAAGCTCCTTCCTTTTCACTGTCCTTCTGTTTATTCTAATTGAGGGGAGGAGGGGGAAGGAAGTGAAGAAACAAGAAATCTTGAAGGAAAAAAAATCAGTGCCTACCATTATCAGCAATGGACAGATTTAATCAGGTACAACAAATTTCATCATATATTACTCATAGCTTTTTATTCCCCAAACATGATGTAACAACAGAAGCCTTCACTGTTTACAAAACGTTAAATGGAAATGTTAAAACATTAGTGGTACTTCTGAGGCACTACATACGTTTGTAAACATATTAAGAGTTCAGGGCATGCCCCTCCATCTGTGATTTTTCTGATAATTAAGGTTGTATTTGTGGATGGGTGTGCACTACTGCTTGTTTTCACTAACAAAACAGAGCTCATGCTAAATCAAGCAGCAACTAAGTCAAATGCTCCATCCTAAAGGAAAAAAAAAAAAAAAAATCAAGTAAAAGAAATAATAAACTCAGCTAATGAATCAGACCTCCACTTTTATGTGCTGGAGTGAGCCATCACACCTCCACCTAAAGCAGCTGAAGTGACGAAATGGTACAGAATCATATAGAATCATTATGGTAGGAAAGGACCTAACATCACATAGTCCAACCCCAGCCCATCACCACCATGCCCACTAACCCATGTCCCTCAGTGCTACATGTTTTTCTGCCACACAATCTTCCAGCCACTCTGCCCCAAGCATGTAGCATCGCTTGAGGTTGTTGTGGCACTGGGAAGCTTCACCCCACTGGCCCCACACCAGCAATCCAGCCTGTCCACGTCCCTCTGTAGGGATTAGTCACGTTTAACATGCAAGCTTTGGAACGACAAACTAAGAGCACCTCTCTGTTTACTGCTTTAATAAATGAAACCATTTGGGATAGTGATAGATTTGGCACAGTGGGAAACTGAGAGGGAAGGTGCAGTGGTAGAGTTCTGTTTCATTTCTTCTTCTCGTAATTCTTTCAAAAACCATTTAATACAGCACTCTGAAGAAGATATGAAACAGAATGCTTGTCATGATGTGGTACATAAGTCATTTTTGACAAGACGCTGATATATACTTAACAGCCCTGTAAGAAGGCTGAAGGTGTAACATCTCTCAAATAAAAAGAGCTGTAAAATACAGTTTCTTGTATTTTAGAAGCCACACAATTTGTATGAAGATTCTACATAGTTATCAAAGTACTTTGGAGGGTGATGTGGAAATCTGGAAACTTCCCTCTTAAGTTTTAAAGGTTTCTGTTACGGAAATTCATCACAGAAATGCTGCGATAATCATCCTCCCCTTTATTTCTGATATGCCTACTATCAACTCCTACCTCCCGTTTCCATTTGGGACCAACAAATAACTAATGCAGAGGCACAAACTTATTCCTCCTAATAATCATAGGTGGTCTGGATCCGATTCTTCTGGCACACATCCTGAACCCCACATGTGCCCCAAGCTTACCTTTTTAGGTGTCCGGGCCTTGTTAGACTTTGCCTTCTTCCCACTCTTTTTGCTCACCATGGATTTCCTTCCCTTCTTCTCAGGAGCAGGGGAAAGGATTGTCTCAGATTTACCTTTGGCACCCCGTTTCTTGGCTAGAAGCTCTGGCTGAATTCTGGGCAGGACCCCTCCACTTGCTATAGTCACACCTTTTAGTAACTGCAAGGAAAAGAGGTACAAAGGAGTGTGTTATGGATTCTCTTTGCCTGCACTCAAGCAATCTTCGCTGACTGCACTACATACGTGTAGAGCCCACACTTCCTAAAGCAATGTGCTTTGTGTATCAGAAGAAAACCCCACTAAGAGAGAAAACCCAGCACGTCCCAGTGAAATTAGCCAGCATGCTCCACAGAACTGCTGCTCTATGCTCAGTCTCACAGCCTTTCTGCATATCTTGGTGACCCACAAGCAGTGGATGAGGGTAAGAAGAGACACACATCTGCAGGCACGCAGCAGTATTCCACAGTCAACCCTCAGAGTCAAAGCACTGCAAATAACAGTCTGTGTGCTAATGGGACCCAGGCATACAGAAGGGGATGCAGTCCTGGATGCAGCTATACCACAGAGTGAGCCAGACCCTCTCCGAGATGGTCCTCATATTGCAGTAGCAAAAAGCACACTTCTACAGCTTTTGGAAGCATGTTGTCTACGTAGCATATTTTTGATAAGTACTGGAGATGATCAAGTTCACGCTACGGCAGCCAACCCTCACACTGCAATACAAGGGAGTACCTGATTCAGCTCTTCATCATTTGCTACAGCCAGGAGGATGTGTCTGGGGGCAATTCTTCCTTTCTTGTTGTCTCTCGCTGCATTTCCTGCCAGTTCTAGAATTTCAGCTGCAAGAAACAGTGAGATAGAAGGGAGTAATAAAAATGCAACTTGCGTGCACCCTGTATACAATTCTCACATTCCTTCTCAATATCCATTTGCCTTTTCAGGGGTATTTCCCCATTTCAATGATCTTTGACACAGAAACGCAGACAACAAATGACAGCCAATATATTTGCAAACTTACATAAAATCATTTGTCCTCCCTAATTTCCTGAAGGATAGTTAGCAGAAAATACACTACGTTTGCTTCACACAACTACCTTTATAAGTCTCACACCAGAATCTTCTTTCAAGTAATAAAAACAAAAAAAAACACGCTTCAAAAATGTACATAAGCAGTCCAAAATTTAGCAATAGACCTGTAACAACAAAACAGCAAAGCATGCAATGAAACCCCAAACTTTGTTCAGACAGTTCTGACAAAACAGCATGAATTCTCAGGACCAAATAAGACAAAGACTGAGGTGCATTTAAAGAAATACTTTGAAAGCCAGCAAACTAGCCAGGCAACGCTGCAATTTTGCATTAAAGGGCATTGAAGATCTGTGAGAAGCTTTATTTCAAAACAAGATATGAAAGGTTTGTCTTAGACGCAAGCAAAGAGACAACATAAGAGCTTCAGTGTAAGAACTGCTGGTAGAAAGTTTTCTGTGTCTCCCGGGACAGTGCTCCTGTCTTGGTTTTGTCAACAATACGGGTAAAAAAGCTACAGCTCATCAGTGTTCTGCTGGAGGTATCTGACTCCCACTTAATCAATTACACAAAGAACTGTATCTATTTGAAGAATTTCCATGAAAAATCTAGTGGGAATCCACCCAACGCCTCTCAGGCTAAAATCCAGAGGATTTCAACAAGAGGTTCAGCTCTGGGTTCACGGGAAAGAGACCAGCTTTCAGTTTCTCTCAGTGAGAATAAGAGAAGTGCAACCTTGTCATCCAGCTTTCACTCCTACAGAGTGTAACATTACTAACTGTTGGAGATGTAAAAGCCATTGTTTAAAATTACATGCCATGGGGCTGCAGGGCTGGAGCTTTCGGATCCCTGACCTCTGCCAGTGGAGCTAATGCAGTAGCAGACAGCAGGAACAGATTGCCATCCAGTGTGCAGACCAGCATAGAGCAAGAAAAGAGACCCATACTTCTCCAGTAGATTTTGCAGATTTATGCTGACAGCAGATGAAAATTGCAGCGGGAAGGAAAAAAAACAAAACAAGAAGACATACTTACCTGTGTGGTAACTGAAGTTCTTTCAGATGTGCCAACAACAAGCACATCCTGCTAACCGTGTGCTCACCCCACTCCCCCAGGTTCTGGGTCCTTTGGCCAGCAGCATCCTGATGGTGCATTCAAATGTCCTCTGCCTAATGTTGAGAGCAAAAAACGCAGAACACTCAAATGCCAGGCACTTTTCATCTACCATAGGACACCAGGAAGAAAGGGATCCAAGGCAGAGATGATGCAGGGCAGACTGCAGAGTATGCATATAAATAACTTATCAAAGGATGCCAATTATTTGCATAGGTAAATAATTGTCTTAGCTCCTTCTAATGATTTTCTATGTGCACATGTTTCTAACGCTGGAGGCTTCAGAACAGAGGTAGGGACTCATATGCTTAAGAATACAAAATGGCACTTGCAAAAACAACAAACCAAAACCATTAAATCTGGAGGCTGAAGCTATCACATCTGCTGGTAAGAACAGACCCCTGAAGAAACTGTTTCATGTTTCAAGCAGAAACATCACTGACAGCTGAGGTCATCTTAACTCTACAGAGACAGCAGTCTGAGAATGTAACTCCCACAGTAAGGCCCCACACTACAGCAAGCTCTCTTGAAATCGGGATCTGGATGTTCTCAGACTTATTTTACGTCTGAGCAGCATTAAGAATTGAAGTGAAATCTGAAATAACCTTGCTTCCCTTAAGATTCAAAATCCACAGAAGATGCCTCCACACTGGACACGTAACTTCAAATTTCGACTGGCCCCTGCCTCCACACAACACACCCGTGATTAAAGCTCAGATGTAGGTGATCACAATGCGAATCATTATCTGCATTTAAAATCAAGGAGTTTCTTGGACTCTTGACTAATAGACAGTACAGAATATTGAGCATTACTGTGTTTGGATCTTGGACTTGCATAAGTGAACTCCAACAGATGTTGGAGTCTTTTTAATAGATGTTTTCACCCTGTTTGATTAGTGCTCAGGACTAGGAAAGCACCTGTTTTACAACCAACAAAAGCAGCAACCAATCTACAACCTGAATGGGATTCCATCTTCTTTTCCTGTGACATACAGGAAAAGAGATTTCTTTAGCTGATGAATCAACAGATTTGGAACACGTGGGAACAAAAAGCATCGCAGACAAATCAAAGCTGCATGTTCAGTTGAGCCCAGCCTGCTTTTCTGAAGCCCTCATTTGAACTGATAAGGAAGATAAATGCCAGCTACTGATCACAGAAGTGAAAGGATTTCAGACACTTCCCCTTCAAGATAGTTCTGACAGTTCCAGCAACCTTACCATGTACAAATCTGCCCAGTAACATCTCTGGCCTGAAAAGATGCATCAGATGGAGTTCTTTGTCCATTGGCAAGTGGAGAAGTATCTGCTCCATTTGTCTCTTGACAGCACATGAGCACAACCTAACCGAGGAGTGTGCCAACTGATGTCCTCTGAAGGAGGAAGCATCGCTGGTGTTGCCAGTTCCTCTCACCAGCACACCACTCATATTTCTTCTGCTTCTTAAGCAAGAGCTGTCCGAATTCTCTGCCTACATTTTGTTTTAAGGTACATTATGGGACACATTCAAATGATGCTTGACTCAGATGATGATGACTAAAGTCAGCCACACCCACGCTGGCACACACGTGTTGCAAAGTTCATAAATCCAATGAGATTGAGGTCAATTCTTCACACATTTTTTATTCTGAAGGCAGTGGAGCCCAACAGAGCTGGGCACAACATAACACAAGCTTCTGGATAGGAATTAAGCTGCAATTTTGCAGTATAACTTCTCAAGCCTGAGATATGAAACAGGATAGAGAGATTTAAAAAAAACAACCAGAACTTTAGATCCCTGATAAGATCTTCCTCACATTAGCTAATCAGTTGAGGTAAAAAGAAATTCTTCTCAAGATATGTTGTACTGATTGCTGGCATTTTTACAATGGAGCTGATAAGCCAAGCCTCAAGTTCAGCATTAGTAACAGCTATGGGCTGCAGCCACAACCCTTCTTGCAAAGGAAAAGGGGGATCTAGTGGTACACAGAACATGTCCCAAAGCCAAAAGGCAGATCACATGGTGGCTGGGATGAGGATGCTCAGAGTGTATGCACTGGCTGAGAAACACTCCTGGAAGAGTCTATGCTATGTCCACAGACAGCTCTGGGTCCTTTGGCCAGCAGCATCCTGATGGTGCATTCAAATGTCCTCTGCCTAATGTTGAGAGCAAAAAATGCAGAACACTCAAATGCCAGGCACTTTTCATTTACCATAGGACACCAGGAAGAAAGGGATCCAAGGCAGAGATGATGTAGGGCAGACTGCAGAGTATGCATATAAATAACTTATCAAAGGATGCCAATTATTTGCATAGGTAAATAATTGCCTTAGCTCCTTCCTCATCCACCCTGCCCATTTTCCAACCATGATTGCTTTCCCTGCCTGTTCTCCTTCCCAGAGCAACCTACACCTGACACTTCTATCTCAGCTTCCTTCCTGGACTGTCTTTATTTCTGCCTCCATCTACTCTTCTCAGACTTGGTTTTTCTTGCTAAGCTTTTCACCTCCCTTCCCTAAGCAACACTTCCCTTCTCCCAGTCCCTCTTTTCCCAACTTGCTCTCCAGTGCTGCATCTCGCTGTTTGGACACCCTCTGCCAATTACTACCCCAGTTCTCAGTTCAATTCTTCCCCACTAAACAGATGCACCCTCAGCTGTTTCTAATGTCAGCATTCTTATGTTATAAGGATCAGCTCTATGAAAAGTTCTTTAACATAGCAAAATAAAACAATTCAGCCTGCTTCTGAGAAGCCTATGTATCTAGCAATTTTCTGAGTAGACACCATGTCACAGACACTCAAGGAAGCTCTGCAAGCTGTGGATTTCCCTGGAAGAACACAACTGCACCAGCTCCACTGAGAGAGGGATTCCTGCAGTTGGAAGGTTTGATTTCTAATGCATGAAACGGGATTGTGCAACTACAAGCACACGAATGTTTGTAATGAAGAGAAGGGTTTCCTCCAAAATCATTTAGAATTGATCTTACTCTATGAAGGAAGACAAGTGAAAAATACAAACACGTTAGCTCCTACATGGTATTACACAAAATGCAGAAGGAGATATGCTCAGCATCTTGGATTTCAATTCTGCTTTTCAATAGTGTTTTGTTTTAAAACCTACTCCATATTTAACTCCTAAAGGAGCTGGAGATTCTCTAATGCACCTCAGTCTTGATCTGTAACTCGTAAGCAACTTGAACTAGAATCCTCTCTCCACTGGGAGAGAGGTAACAATCTGGTAAGGAGCTGTTCTCCACACTTAACTAAGGAGGTTCACAGGGCAATCCAAACTAGTGCAATACCTCAAACTATAGGGTATCACAGCATGACACCTGCACCTCCTGTTAGGGGATTTCATAAAGCAAGCCAAAAAGACGTTTTTCTTTTTTTAATACTAATGAACCACCTCCTTATTTCATAACACTTTGACACTGTTCTGCAAGACAAAAACACAACAGTTTGCTCACTTTAAATGCACCATACATGTACAAAGCAAGCTTGCTTTTTGACCTCCCCTGTTGATGAAGCAACAAAGCCTTATGTAGTTTTCTCTTACAAACTACCCCATGCAACTCCTCACTCACGCAGCAATAAGCAGCAACCCCTCCAACCACTGACCGAGCATCGTGCCTCTGAAGGAGAAAAATTCCATCCTCAGCCTCTTCCAAAAGCAAATTCGTCGCCGTGAGCATTTTAAGCAAACGTCAACACATCCCGCACTTCTCAGAGGTGCTGAGCACGCTCACATCTCATCCCACAGACACTGCGCACGCCCAGCACCTCCAGTATCAGGCTCTCTGTTTACCTGCTAGATACTCTATGACAGCTGCCATGTAAACTGGTGCTCCAACACCTATCCGGTACTTGTACGTTCCTTTCTTTAAGTAGCGCATCATCCTCCCCACGGGGAAAATAACACCTGCCCTGCTGGAGCGTGACAGCTTGGACATTTTCTTCTTCCCACTGCGGCCTGACATCTTGCAGCTTTGTGCTTTTCAGTTTGCTAGCGATTCTTATTCCCTTGCTCCAAGCTGACAGCTGCAAGAGAGAAGAAATAGGATTGGTGTTCAGCATGTGAGGAACATCTCTAAATATCATCATCTTTTTCTTCCAGAAGAAGAAATCCAAACTCAGGCTCAGCTGAGCTTTCTGAAGGCCATTTTCCCCACATCAAGAGCCACTCCAGGCTCAAAGAAGAAACAAAAATAAATCTTGTTTTCTCCTTGCTTTTCCATACAAACAAAATGACAAGCCTGGAGCCAGCCCAATCACCTTAGCATGCCAGTGGTCTTAAAGAGCAGCGGCAGTTCTCACTCTTGGTCAAATAACATGGAAGCTGCCTACAAGTTTCCAAACTTGTTTTTACTTCCATTTTGGTCACTGCTCACAGCCTAATTATAGTCTTTGTTACAATGTAACAGATCAAAATCTGCTCCTCTGAAGTCAATGAGGAGCTTAGGACAAACTGGTTCTTCTACACAAGTCACTTGTCCCAGACGTTCAATGAAGCCAGCTCATCCCAGACAGCCAAATTGAAGGGCAGGTGCTCACAACAATCTGATCTGAATGCTGATTCTGCTCATGATGTCAAGGCAATTCAACTATCGGAAGGCCTGCAGCGGTCCATAAAACCCTGGTGTGTCCCCTCTATCAGCCACATAGTATATCGCATGCACTAAGAAAAATTACATGGGTGCAACAATACAAGTTGGAAAAGATTAAATCAGCAAAACTACCAGACACGGACACATCAAAACTTATGCTGCTCAGTGTCCCATTTGGAGTTCCCAGAGCACTGCCAGCCTGGGATCGCCGGGGTGGTAAATGAGCTCATAAACTTCCACTTACAGGTGGGGATTAAAAGGCAGAAGCCACTTCAAGCAGCTTTAAGTGACAGCATTCCCCAAGCAGTGCATTAATTGCATTTAAGCGGGAGTGAGAAGTTGTGCAAGACGGACAAATGAGCAGTCGGCATTCTGTACCAGAGGAATATGTTACTGAGGAGTATGCATCTAAATTGCATTAACGTCTCATATATTTGCTGTAGTAACCCAAATCCCATTTGCTTGTAAATCAATGGGGAGAAAAGGAATGAAATACAAAAAGCAAACATCACAAGGTTTGCATCCACAGATAATACTTGGGTTGTGTTTTGGTTTTCTATCAGATCAAACATGTTTGTATAACAACTAAGCACACTGCTCCAGGGCACTCTGTTACAATACATACACTTTTGTGTGCAATTAAACATGTTTGGCTCATTCTTCTGTCTTTAAATTAATTTCTTGGCCTCTGCAAGTCTCACTCATCTCTTCCCCTACCCTCAAGGCAGCTTTCGGTTTCCCCAGGCGCTTTTCCAAACATGTTGCAGATATCAGAGCAGGAACATGTGCACAATTTTCCATCAGCCTAAGTGCAACAGCAGCCCTGGCAGGCTCATCTCTCCCACAGGCAGGGGTCTGTTTTACCTGGGAGGATGCTCACCAGCTGACCCTGACACAGCTACACTGTGCGCCCATCTGAACTGCATCAAGGCTGCCAACATCTACAAGCTGAGTGACGCCGCCCCAGTTGTTGTCGTTAGGTGATGCAATTAAATGCCGAGAGCTCATCAGCTGAAAAGCACTCGAGTCCACCCACACCAGCCCCCTCACTGCCGAATGATGCACTGTCTCTGGGTTTGCCCTTACTAACTAAAGTCTCCAATAAAGCCATCACCGTGGCATTTACTCAAAGTCCATCCTCGCCGTGTTGGAAGAGCAGTGTCTACACGTGGCTAACACCACATCACCAAGCTTGGGCAATTTAAAGCAATCAGTAATCCCACACCTAATTGGGCACGCCTCACACCTACTCCACTGCAACACCAACATCCTCGTGTTGCTATGGGGGATTTAACAGCCACCAGAACTCCCACAGCTGCGCAACACAAAGGAAATAAGGCAGACTTCTGCAAGCCGGGCCCTCCTCTGGGAATCGCACCCTCCCCAGAGCCCAGAGCAGCCAGCAGCAGCTTCCTCGTGCTTGTCGCAAAGAGCTCTGCCTTATTCCCGCTTCACTCGCAGACTGACATCTGCTCCTCCAAGCCCAAAGCAGGCGTTTCCCGCACACGCCGCCAGCAGCACCCTGCCGCGACGCTCCCTCGAGACCCCGCGCCGCCCCTTACACGACGCCCACCGGGCCGGCCCTGAGGCGGCGCCGACCGTTAGCACGCGCGCTACGTGCCCGCCCCGCCCTCCGATTGGCCGGAGCGCGAGCCACACCTGCGCGCGGGCCGGGCCGTGCGCTCCCATTGGCCGGCAGCGCGCACGCGCCCTACGGCGAAGCAGCGGGGAGGCGCTGCCGCCGCTTTCCCGCGCGCACGCCCCCCTCCTTCCCCCGCCGCCGCCCCCCCTCAGCTCTCTCCCGCCGCCGCGTCGCTTCCCCGCCGAGGCGCGGCGGCGGCGGCCGGAACGGGAAGCGCCGAGCCCCGTCGCGCCGCGGCTTTCCCGGAGAGGCCTTTCGCCCTCTAGCGCCCCAGCGGCCGCCCCGCGGCCGTCGCTCCCTTCGGCGCCGCCGCCGCCATTCCGCTCCCGGCGCGGAGAAAGAAACGGCGGAGGAGGGGGTTCCGGGCGGGGAGAAGTGCCGCCCGCGGCCCCGCGCCGCCCCTCACCTGCCGCTCCCGCCGCCTCCTCTCGGCGTGCCGCGCTCGGTCTCTCGCCGCCCCCCGGCCCCCGCTCGCTCCGCCTCAGCCGCCGCTCCCCGCCCGTGCCGTACGTTGGGATGGCGATGGCGGCGGCTCCTCTCGAGGGGGGTGGCAGGGGTTTCCTCCCGCGCCGCATACCGCCTCTAGGAGGAGTCAGTCCCCGGCCCCGCTGCGGCCCCCCTCTCGCCGCCGCCCTCCCCGGGCCCCAGGGCCGCCGCCGCCTCCTCCCCCGCGTCCCCCGCCGGGCTGCGGGCAGCGGGCCCGGCCGGAGCCCCGGCCGCCTCCCGAACAAAGGGAGTCGGCGCTCTTTGTGTCGCGGGAGCGCTTCGGGTGCGAGCGACCGCCGCCGGGCTGCCGGCCGAATGAAAGCGCAGGGTCTGCTTTTATTTCCCCCCGCCGTTGTGCGGACGGGAGACCTCTGCGCTGCACCCCTAGCGCTTGCGTAGCGAGTCTGACGGCTGTCGGCGGTGCCGAAGCGATCGGGCGCCTTAACGCGCCTCCGCGGCTGATCTCGGGGAGAGCCTTACGTATAACGGGCTGTTGGTGTCATTCGTGCGCTAACGCCGCGCGCTGCCTTCTCCTGGGTGATGCTGGGGGGCTGCGGGGAAGGCACGGCGCCGAGCAGGTGGCTCCAGCGCGGCCATGCAGGCACCCGTGCATCCAGCAATCTCTTTGTTGCTGGAAAAACCACCGAGGGTTGCCGGCTGGCTGGAGCTGGAGCTTGGCTCTGTCGGAGGAAATGCTTGTGCCCCCACACAACTGCACTCGGTAAGGAATTTGAGCTATAAGGTGTTCCTCTGGGTTACGTACGCTGTGGACCACGGTGTCTCCCAAAGGATAGGGTGTGACTGGTGTCAGCCGGGTGCCCCTCGCTGTGATCCTACTGAGATCCTCTGCCTACAACGGCTGGGCTTTAGAATGGAAATAAAGCAAGTTGCTCAACAAGAACCGAACACTTGTGCTTTGATGCTTTGGAATCACTTTTTTCCCCCCACTCTGGGCCCAGAATATTTGTGGTGCGTGAAGAAGAGTGGTTTCTCATTACAGCCCTACCTCAACGGGCTTTTCTTTCTTCTCCTTGGGTGCTTGGCTGTGCAGGGCTCCTGGGATGGAAGCACTAGTGATGGGAACCTCTGTGCCGGAACTGGATGAAGCTGACTGCAGCTTTACTGGTGGATGTATGGGGCACCATCCTATTGCTGTTGTGAGATAGCAGAGGTTCATGTCTTTTTGTAAAAAAGGATCCAAGTACGTTTAGTTCCCAGCTCTGGTCAGAGCTGAGCTGAGCTGTGACACACAAAAGAAGCAGGCAGTGGGGTTGCCTATGTTACACGGTGAGGACGTGATGGAGGTGGTTCTCTCCGCCATTCCTGCTGTGCACAGAGGATGACTGATCACCCGATGTTCTTGGTCGGGGTAGCTCCGTGTTCTGGTCTGTTAAAACTAGTCATTGGGGGAAAATTGTAAACAACTGGCATTCCTCAGGCAGAAAATGGACAGCGTTGGATTGAGAGCTTGCGGAGATTGCCCTTGCTAGGTTATGCAAAGACCATCTGCCGGTTGACTTCTGAGCGCAAACACAGGCTGTTACTTTGTCAAAATAAACAACCTATCTATTGACAGAGCAGTTATAGACTGCTGACTGCCTCACTCACCAGTGAGCAGAAGCGCAGCCTGTTTATGGCACTCTCGCTTTTGGACAGAAGTTGTTATATCTCAAACACAGCAATGAATATTTCATAACGTCAGAACTGAAAGCTATGGCCTCACTCTTGCTTAAGCTGGCAGGCATCCAGGGGAGCCTTGGCAGTGCACTGATGTTAAGCTCTCTGGAAGCTCTGACTTAGATACGTATATAATCCAGGAGTTTTATCAAATCAGTACAAGTGTTGTCATGTCGTCAGGATAGCCTAATATGATCAAAATTGATGTGTGTATATATTATGGCAGTAGATAACGCATGCGATAACTGAGCAAGTAATCCATATTTCTGTCATGACTTTGCTTTTTCCATTTGCAGCCATCCCTCCTCCACCCTCTGCAGCGTGCATGGCTTTGTGGTGCTAGTAGGTTGTGCACAGCAAGCGCTTCAATACAGTAGAGAAGCTAAATCCTCATGTTTTGGAGAACTCTCTTGTTGTAGACTATTATTAAAATAGGAGTGTATCATTGGACTGACAACAGTATCTTTTGGAAATACTGAAAAAAAAAAAAAATGAGGGAGGAAAAAAAAAGAGGAAATATTATATTCAGTTAAGGAATAATCTGTGGGGTTTTATTCTCCAGAGCTCAGAAACAATAGCCACAGACAGGCGAGGTGCAGGGAGAGGTGGCATGGTGATCGCACGTATGGAATGTCTCCTCTGAATAATTAAACACGTTAGGGCCTTGAGCAGAGACTGAAAGGACACAGCCGATTCTTTCTGCTCGCCCCTCCGTACCTCTAAAGGAACACTGTTCAGATATTGAGCTCCTGTTTAGCCAAGAGGAGCGTGCTGTGGGGTAGCAGTCTAATTTTCAGATGTCTCAAGTTAGATGAGATGAACGTACCGCTTGGGTACATGCGATCACCACAATAGCTGTCATGGCATTCGAAGCCAAAGGAACCTTCCCCTTGTCACCATGCCTTGCCAAAAGCAAGCCAACAGGCCAAGTTCTGCCATCCCCAAAGGCTCTGTCTTTTGGGTTTTTGTTTGTTCTCCCTAATCATTCTTAAAATAAAATAAAATAAAATAAAATCAGATTTTACTTATACCAGGTCCCTTAACAAACAGCTCTTGGGTTTTGAGAGTGGCACACACCTTGTTATTGATTGCCTCAGTATTAAGTGGAACAGGACGTCACACCAAAACAATAATCATGGTGATCTAAGTAAAGCAGAGCCATTCAGAGTCAGCCTCTGCTTCCTCTGGTCTTGGCTCCATTTCCATGTTTGCTAAATCTCTCTCATTGTCACAACTCAAGCAGCTTTGTGTTTTGTGGCCGAGTTATTTCAGGTTTTAGGATAAGGCTGGTCAGGTAGCAGAAGGATTCGGGATCTCTGGCCTCCAGTAATACAGCTCCACTGATGTTGCTGCTTTTCCCTTAGCACAGGCACCAAGTCGGACTCTGGGACCCTGTCCTGTAGTCAGCTATTTCCATGCGGCTGGTGCAGTGGTACGAGTATATTTAGTACTTCTGTCCATCTACCAAATGGGTTGAGATGTGCTACCCACCTAGTTCCCAGTCAGCAGGGTGACCAACTAGCAGCAGATGGCGTGGTTTCCTTACAGTGTTGATCTGAAAATCATCCCCAAGTGAGAAAAGAGGTCAGAGAATTCATGGTTTATCAGCTGGCGTTAAAAGAAAAGACAAACTATGCATAAGTAAACAGGTATTTTTATAAAAGGGAAAATAAAGTATGTACATCATACGTAACAAATGCAGATTGTCCTGGAATACGTATGCTTTAAAGACAAAAAAATAGTCAAAGCTCTTGAATTACTGAGGAAAAAGTAGAAAAGAAAAAGCAAATACTTGTTCTGGCTGAAGAAGCTCCTGCTACGGATGAAAAGATGATGGGAAAGAACAGCTCTTTGTTCTCTCCCTCAGATCAATTATTTAGTGTGGAATTTTCTTAAAGGCCTAAAAATTCCAAGCTGCATCAAAAGGAGTTGAAATAACACCTTAGAGTCAGCAGTGCAACAACAATAATGACCACTAATACAAAATCACGTTACAGCACTTCAGCAATGAAAGCCAAATAGCATTCTATATTTAATACTAATACAGGTTCAGTATAAGCAGTGTAAAAAGCAAATACAGACTGAGATGTCTCAATCAAACAGTGTTCAAGAGACGCACAGAAGCAATGCCCTGTCAGTGTTTACTCATAACTCATCACTACGGCTGTATCAAATACTGCGCGTTCTATGCCACCAAAGAAAAACTAAAAATCTCTCGTACCATACAAGGAAACCACTTATGTAACAACTAATTGCTTCAGAAATCATCCTCCTGCAGGGATTAATGAACTCACATCTGACCAGCATCAAACGATGTGGTGCCCAGGTTGCACGAAGGTGAGAGTTGGCTGCAGTGCCAATGATGTGAGCGTTCCAGATGCGAGCACCAAGGGATGGCATGCTTTCTCTACAAGACTCTCCAGAAGGGTGAAGCTGCTCTCTCCATGGCTCTGCCACTTGCGTGCAACATCAGAGCAAAAGCAAATCTTTGCAGGAGAGCAGAAGGGAAGATTTACTGAAGAAATATTTTTGAAACAGTATTGTGAAAAAACAATGGAATTATCACAAAATGGAATTTCATGCTCCCAGCAAAACCCTGCTGGGAACAATGGATTGGCAAACACAGCCAAGAGAAAGCAAGAATACAAGATCCTCTCAAATCTATCACTAACACATTTAACTTACTAACCTTGAGCCTAGCAGGATTTTCTTAAGCAAATGACAAAAACAAAACAAAACAAAACAAAAACTCCAATATCCTGACTAAATTCTTTCTGTTAGAGAAAAAGCATTTATTTGATAACTTCAGCAAGCAAACAACCAAAGGAAAACTATAAAGCTAAACTGATCTTGCTATGTAGCATTTTAAGCAGTAGAAGCTTTACAGTCACTCCTGAAACGACTAACATGTACAGTCTTAATTCTTGCTCTGTTTTGACAACAAAGGGCTACAAGAAGGCAGGAAGGATAAATAAATAAAAGTGATTGGAAGAATGATCAAAATGTGATCAATTGAGCATTTCTAAAAAATGCAGAAGAGAAAATGCCCATTTTGCTTGAGCCATGAAAAACAGGAAGCAATACGGGGCAAAGTGAGAAACAAAATGTGTAGAAGAAATGGTTGCCCTCATCCAGCAGAGCATCATGCCGTTGAGTATGCTCAGTGTGAAGCAAAGCCCAAGGACGAGCTCAAGAGGAAGTAAACTGCTGGGTTTAGAGGGGAAAACAATAGCAATAATATAGTAAGTAACTACCAAGAGCGTGCCGTTCTCAAGAAGCATCTTTAATGGCTGGTTGGCTGGTTCAGAGCTTCTTAGCTAAGTCGGTGAGATTTTAGGCTGTAGAATGCTACTGAAGAGAACACAGTGACTCTTGCCAGACTCATTTTGTTATGACAGACCACTTAAGAACAGGAGAGACCAATCAGCTGGCCTGTCACATAGCCCTTTTAAATTCTCTAGGTGTAGAGTTCTAGAGAAACCATTTCGTCCGGGAGAGCTCACTGGCACCTGGTCCCTAGGCACGGCCTGTGGGGATACATTCATCCCTGCTGAAAATTGGTTTGCCTATGGAAAGCACCATCTTACTGTTGCACTTAGGGAGAAAAAATAAAGAACACAACAGGAATGTCCTCAGGACACTTTGGGTCAGGAACTCCTACAAACTTATTCCAGAAGCCCATTAAAAATATATTTAAAGGGAAACTCTAGAAAAGAGCCAACACATCGCTCCAAAAATATCATTAATAAAAAGAAATGTAGAAGTAATGTAATCAAACTATATACATAATTGTTTTTGCTAAAAAAAAAAAAAAAGGAAAAATGCACACCTACCGCCTGCAGTTCTGGTCAGGTTCTCCCCTTTTCCCTCCCCCCTCAAAACAAAAAACAACATGAAAATAAGAACTACAAATAAAACAGAGAAACCCTTTCATCAGCCTGGCTCCTAACTGAAACAACGTACTGCCTTTCTACTGTACTTATGGAGTAAAGATAAAAATTGCAATTAGGGTTCTATTGTTCAGGTGAGACTAGAAGTAGGACTTGTTAATTCTTGAGTTACATTAGAAGTATACTTTCTGTGCAATGGTGAGAAGAGGTGTCCATGGGATTCCAGAAAGGCAGGACTATTCCAGATGAATTGACCAAGGCTATTTGAATGAAGGTTACTACTTCTCAACTTTAAAATACATCAGTATGAACTCACAATCAGCTCTTTCTCTCTGAAGAAACAAGATGGCTTGTGATTTAGTTCTGCCTAATGGCTTAGATAACATTATTAGCTGTAATAATGGCCCTGATTCACCAGAGTACTTAAATATGCAAATAGTAGGCCAACGGGAATCACACACACAAAGTTAAATATATGTTTTAATGCTTGGATAAATTGGATTCCCAAGGTACTCAATGAAGTAGAAATGTTATGAGTCATGTCTGCAGTATACATCTGCAGTAATTTCAGTTTTTTAACATATTGCAAGAGCTTTGGTGGAAAAATGCTATGGAGTACGTGCAAATGGAATTTAACCTTCAGCAATGGGAACTGAATGAGGGAAGCTGGGTTGGTATGAATTATCCCCAGCTGGATGTCCTGACTTCCAGTGCATCCGTGGCACCCCGCAGCACCTTGCCAAATCATCATTTCCTTAACCTGAATCTATTAGAACATGTCACTGTGGGATTCAACCCTTGTGATCATTAATTTCCATCTGTAAGTAGACCTGTGGAGAGGTACCCACCAGAAGGGCCTCAGTAGGACAGCAGAACAGTGCATTTCTTGAGGGCTCCAGAAAGAACACCTCCAGGAAGCAAAGTACAGGAAGCAAAAGAACAATTCAATGAAACTCTGTTGTCCATAGTCCTCATTTTCTTTCTCTGACAAAGTACTTCATGCCTTCAAAATCCAGCACGGCTTTCCCTTTTCAGCAAAAGGCTTAGCTCCTTTCTCCTTTACCAGGAGAAGGTGGTGTGTGAGGAAAAGGTTTCCTCACGCCCTCTCAGAGCAGCAGTCCGAACTGAACACATGGGGCTTGTCTGACTTTTTGGAAGACAACTGTTCAAGAGGATTTCTTTCCTGGATCAAAGGATCCCCCCATTGAAATACTGTCTGTCTTGCACTCATTTATACAGCGATTGCTGGGACATGAGCCTGATTCTTCATCTGAAGAGTCTGACCACAACAATAGACTGAAGTGAAAAGGACCAAAGGAAAAAATATGAATAATATAAATGGTGTCATTTTCCAGCTCTGCCACTGGCCTCAGAGAGAAGACAGGAAGCAAAGCAAAGAGTGTTGTCACGCTGACTCCCGCACTGCCGTTATCCAGGCACAGCTTCCTGGTGCGCAGTTGAAGAACTCTTCCTAAGCTCCAAGGAGGGAACTTGCAAAGCATCTCAGCAAATCTTCAGGAAGGTCCCTCTTGTTTCTTTTTTTTCTTTTTTTTTGGCTGTCATTTCTCAAGCTTCTCCACCCCCAGACTCATCTCACTTTTTGGCTATCAGCCAAGGAGTTTGACCCTTGAAGCAGCAGACAAAGGATTTCACATGAGAACAGCCAGTCAGAGCTAACAGCAACAAACAGTGACAGCCTAGCTACATATTTTAGCAGGCAGGGATCTAGAAATGGAACCATTGCATTTGGCACAGCACAAACCCAACTTCAGTTCTTCGGGGTTGTTCTAGAAATGTGAGGCACTTATATTTGGGTCAGCACAATTGCACTCTGATTTGCAACCCCTGATTTATCCATAGTGGATGATGAGTTCTCTATTCCCACAGCCCTTGTGTTCATGCAGTCTGAAACAGCTATCTGCTTCAGTTCAAAATACACAACAAAGGCAGGCTGTGGTCAGCAGCAACCACCGCACACGTTACTGTTTTCCTACCCTTGTGATAGGCAGGCAGTTACGTTAAGACAACACCACCATCTTTTTTATGATGGAGCAAATCCAAACAAAAGCAGTCCTCCCATGCAGTTACAACCACAAGCAACAGTTACAAAAGAAAAATATGACAGACAGCAAAGGGAACAGAAGTTACCAGCAGATTCTTCCGTGGATCTGTATGTTTTGGGGATGAACTATAGCCAGCGTTTTTAGGAAGGAGTAAAGCACTCAAACTACCTACCTTACGGGTCCAATGTTATAAGACCAGATAAGATATTCAATGCAGCTGCTGCTATCACCTTCTCAAACCAATCCTGCCAGCTGATTGGGGTTTTATTGCTTTGCGTTCAACAGGTGCCTAATTAAAACACTAGAGCCCTATGGCATCCATGCTTAAATAAGTACTGCTCTTTTTATATTAATGGTACTGAGAAAACAAGAATCTCTCAGTATTCAGCAGTTTGCTTTCTTTCTTTTCCAGCACCCCAAGCATCTCACTGCACGTGGAAGAGTTTCATCCAAAGGACAATGTTGGCATAGAAAGACACGTTTGTAAAAATAATGAACATTACAGGGAGTTTCTGACTCCCAGGGCAATCCGAGAGTGGAGCTGTGGGGCAGCGAGCAAAAGACTCAGGGCAATAGAAACTCTGCTGCTTCTTAGAGGAAGCTCAGTTCAGGTTTCCACGCTTCTGCTAAGTTTCTGAGCATGTCGTGATGTTCATTTAGTCTGATTATTTTCTTAATGGATAATTTAGGCTTTAGACATTAACAAAGGTAGGACAAGGAGGATTGTTAAGATGTACACATGCAAATTATGATGACGCACTCCAAACTTCCATGCAACTTTGGTTAGCATTAAAAGAGCTACGTGGATTGGTTTATCTAATAAATATTCATTAGGATATCATCAAGGTATTCTACCATATGTTTGATTTTAAATGAAGGTAGTTGCAGGCCCATGATTCAGGAAGATTCTTAAATTCCTGGACTTATCATCATGGGAGTTAATCCAGGTAAGTAATGGCTAAGGCCAGAGGCAAGAGTCAGCCAGTATGGCCTTTGAGGTGTTCTGTTTCTTGCACAGGCACTGGGCCGCCCTAAGGAACTGTGGTGGGTTGCACTTGGCTGTCTGAATCTGTTCATGAAACATCATCTTGTTCCACAACGATGAGTCAGGGAATCTCTAAGTTCCCATTATACTGTGTGTTTTCCCAGGAATACCTTAATTGAATCAACAAAAACCTGTAAATGTTTTTCTTTAATAAAAATACATCGTATTTTGAAATAATCTTGAATGACTCCAGCTTGAAAAAAAAAAGAAAATTGCTTTAGAAGGTATACAGGGCAGTTTTTTTGGGCACTTTTAATGCAATAATTTATTAAGTTCCTATATCCATCATGTGCATACACGTATCATGTAAATGTTACAGCTGTACTCCATGACAAAACAAGCATAATGAAGACATACACAGAGAACTGACAAACAGGGACGAAGGGAGTTCTAGTATTTCCTGTACAAAAAATATGCAGCTTCTTGATAATTTGTAAAAATGCATAACTTTGAGCATTTCAGAGAAGAATGCTGTATAAAAATAAATATTCTATGTACAATAACACACACAGGCCAGTCCAGGGTTAGAACAATCACTGCAAAAGAAAAGATAAACAAACTTTAGTGCCAATTCCTCAGCCATGGGGAATGCAATTCTCTCCTTTTTCGACCCACAAAACTGAACGCTGGTGTAAAACAAAGGAGAGTTTTGCTTCCTGCTTCTCAGAGGTATGGTCTTGGAAAACCCATGCATGCCTCCACACCTATGCTGCACTCAGCCAGACAGCATGCACTGCCAACTCAGCACAGCCCCACCATTTCCAAGATCATTTTACCTTATTCCAGCAGCCTTGAACTGGAAGGCCGTCTTCTCCCTGCAGAAGCATGAATGAAATAGCAGTTTAGGAAACAGAAAACAGTGCAAAGAATGAGGATAAAAGGAATGGGTTCATTATTACAGCTGCAACAAACAGTCTGAACCAGGTTTGGAGGAATAGTTGGACAGATATTCCTCACTCCCTTGCAGTGACCCAGGCTTGTGGCTGAGCCCAGCTGGAAGCAAGGCTGGGGCTGGAGGGGCTGCCTGCAGGCTCACACCAGGGCTATAAACTTGTGCACGTTTCTCCAAGGAAGATGGCAGGTCTATATCCTAGACCTGGCTCTATAGCACTGAGGTGGGTTATCATGCCTGGCACAGCAAGGCCAGGCAAACCCTGGCCAGGGGCAGCGTTAACTTTGGCTCCTGAGGAGGGCCTGGAAAAAAATTCCATCTCCTTTCCACTCTGTGTTGAAAGGTTTGCTTTATCACGTGGCAGACTGCTCAACTGTCCCCTCCTGCCTCTGAGAGGCTCCTGCTCCAGGATCTCAGCTGGCTCTTTGAATGGTTGGTTTTGTGTTTTCTGCCCCAATAAACCAGTGAAATTTCTATAAAATACCCTCTCAACTCTGCAACTCCAAAACCTTGGGCTACAAGGCCAGGATGCAATTTTATTATTTTTCTATGTTGAAGGTTGGATACTTCAAGGACTTTGCCACTAAAATATGTGAGACTAAGCATTTGAGAAATGTGTTTGTGAATAACTGACATTAATTAGCATGTAACAAGAGAAAACAGGAACCCAGTGTTGATAATAATGTGCTCTTGAGCAGATGAGCTGCTGAAAAGTCAGGCCCAAGAAGTTGCAGCATGAAGTCAAATACTTCTTGTGTGTGCGTGTGAAGCTCTGGGGCCGATTCTGTTCCCCATGAGAACCCCACTACAGGCAGTGAGATTGTACAAAGAGCCAGGCAGGCAGGCACACTTCTTCAGTCAAATGACTCAGTTCTCACTTCCTCAAGTACCTCGTGAGAAAGTACATCCCATTTGAGAAGGGAACAAAACAAAGCAAATAGAAAAGCAAATGCACAGTAGCATACTGGGACAAAAACTACCTATCAGAAAGATGCTTAGAAGAGACCCATGAACTGATAGTGTCCTGATGCTGCAACCATACTGTTTTCTGAATCAATTTTTTGGACTATGGTCCCCCCTGTGGTATATTTTCACCCCCTTCTCCTCCCACTATGGGGAAATGCTGAACTTTAGATCAATTGACTACTGGGTAACTTGTGGCATTCCCATTGGTACTCTGGTGGTGGTAGGAATGACTGGTGCAGTGCGTTGCAGGAGGAAACGGAAAGTTAGGTTCATGAAGGAATGGAAAGGCAGAGTTATAGTGTAGGGATTGAAGGAAGACCAGGGTCATAAGGAAGTGTTTGTTGCAGGCTAATTTGCAGAGAATGGAAATGGAACATGCTTATTAGTATCAAGTATCTTCATCCACATATCAGTGTGTAAATCATTAGTTCATGGCCTCCATAAGCTATGCACATGGGTGTGTCAGCAGGATGCTAAGCTTTTAAACAAGCTGGATCAAAACCCATGCTTACTCAAGTTCTCAAGCTAGCTTGCATGCCAGTATGCTGTTTGTGTAAATAAAAATAGCATCTATGTTTCTTACAGATTTTCTTACCACATTTTCTGTCAAGTTTCCTTAAAAAAATAGGCATGAAGAGGTGTGCACTGTAATTTGGCCAGGAAAGGCAGAGACAAACAAAAGGCAGTCTGTGGGGGCGCAGGCAGAATCTGTGCCTGGCACCTGTGAAATTAGGTGCTGTACTCAGACCAAACTTATTCCATAGGAATTCTGGCTATTGGCAGTGGGAGGTGAAACACCTGGCTTTTGTTCCTTCACAGGCACGATTTTGCTTCTGAGATTTGCTTTGTACTACCTGGAATTGACAGAGTGGCAACTGAGGCTTTGCAAGTAGTCACCATGCTGCTATGAAGAGATAATGGTTATTGAGCATACTGAGGAGGGAGTGCTGGAAGGAACATCAAGGCTGGCACTTCACAGAGGCCAAATAATGGAGGCTTTCATAATGACAACTGCAGGGCTAGTTTCCCCAGGAAACTAGAAAGCCCTGCTAAATATGGTATTGCGTTTTTCCTCGGGATACATTTTTCCAGCCAGTTGAAGGAATTGATACCACATCTCTTGCAAATGAAAGCAAACATCTCTAAGTGAATGTAAGGTTTGGAAAGGTCATCCTCAAGCAAACCTAGCCATGCTAAATGGGAGCAGGAAGGGCAAGAGAGCACAAGTCTCAGGGTATTATGGAGTGGTGCAGACAGCTGGAGGGGGCAACAACCTCGCCCAAATGCAGCACGTCCACAAATGATCTCTGTGAATGAATAAATTGGTGTTCTTTAATGGGATACTTATAAATCAATTGAGGTTAAGTGTTCCTGAATACCTTTTGTGCCTCAGTAGTTGGATTAAATGAAGCACTAATACAGTGATCACTTTTTAATATTAGAATAGACAGATATGGGAAAACAGGTGATTCCAAGTTCAAGATTTTGGAAGCTGTGGGTACTGTTTTCATTTCAGGGAAGAATCACAAACAGGAATTATCTAGTGGGAGCTGAGGGAGGTGTCTAGTAACGTCTCACATGGGCCTCTAACAGCTGTATTTTTCCAGTCAATATTCAGAGTGACTGAGTAACACAGAGCAGTGTCAAACTGCTAAACACATACAAGCAATTAATGTTAATGAAGGATGAAAGCATTTCAGCTCCTTGGCTCAGAAACCAAGCTAGTGCAGAGGCAGCCTTCGTGCATTAGTCTAACAGAAGATCTCAAAGTGAAGGCAAAGTGAGAACTGAAGCAGCATTTAAATTCTCATTCTTGCTGCATTTTCCCTCATGCCATAAAGTAACACTGGCAGCAGCTGTGAATCATAGGAAGAGAAAGACTGTTTCTGACAACAGCAGCGTGAAGGAGGTGGGATGGAGAGAGGTGAGGAAAGAGCTGTCATACGTCTCTAGGGCATGCAACTACATGGAGGTACCAGAAAATAACAACCAAGATATGAAAGCAAACAAACATGCAGGAAAGGGAAGGTACGCCATACCAATGGGCATGGGGCATCCAGCCCGTCCAGCCCAGGTAACCCCGGCTCACCCTTCTCGCCTTTAAAACCTCGGAGACCCTGTTTATGAAATCAACCACTATCGTTATTTCAGTTGATGCCAGTCACCTCCATGGCACCAGAGGACAGGCACGGTCCTGCACTGGGACTGTCACAGGGCACTCTGCTGCATACCCAATATGGCACTGTTCTCTGTTTTAGTTTGTCTGTGTGATCAGCTGCCCGTTTTTCTGCAGTCTACAAATCAGTGTGAGTTAAACTGGAGATGATGGGAACAGTATCTCATCTGTTTTCAAATCATCCATTCTTCCTACCCTCACTGGAAATTCCAGCACGTGAATTTCTAGAAGCACGAAGCACAAGTGTTCCTGGGATTTATGGTCATTTCTGGCAGCACGTTCACTGCAGTGCATGAGTTTAGATGAAAATGTATACATATTCATAAATTTACATCTAGATTTACAGACAGTGTATCTTGGCACAAACGTATTCCATTGAAAATAACTGAGATGTGCTTCCGGTCTGGGTAATGCGGCTCGAGTGTCCTGTGTCATTCTCAGGCAATTACATTGGCTGGCTGTTACTCCAAGGCAACAAAACCAGTTTTGCTCTTGTGGAGACATGATGACACTGAACGCTTCCAAAGGAAAATCACAGCTAGCAGCAAAGGAGGTTCTTTTTTCCCCACCAACACATCTTAAAACAATACATTTGATAAAACAGAACATACCAACGGACAGGGTGCATCTAATCCAGGCGCTCCTTGGTCTCCCTTATCCCCTTTAGACCCTCTAGAGCCTTTCTTGCCCCTCTCCCCCTGTAAATAACAGTTTAGTCCAAGAAAAAAAGAATACACAAAAGCTTTAGGATCATCCATTTCAAACAAATGTCAGCAATAGTTCAAAAATGATGAACGCGTAGGCAACATTTTAAAAGAAGAGAAACCTCCCTTTGAGATGGTAAGTGAAGAGCAACATATGGTACTACTAACCTTTCCTAAGCTGTACAAACACAAGGGCCATTCCTAAAATCCCACACTGACAGATGATGGCAGGCACTGCATCAAAGGAAGGTGGAGTGCCATAGCAGCGGAGCACTGCACTGTTGATATGACCACTTCCCTGGGCTTCTCATATGCCAGTGGGAAGAGAGGATGGGAAAACCTCCTCCAGACATTGTATGCTACTTGCTCTCATCAGCTGGTGATTGGCAGCAGTGCTCTTGGGAACAAGCCTTGAGGCAGAGCCCAGTCAGGACCTCCTGTTGTGGTTGTGAGGCATTGCTGGCCCAAGCTCCTTGTGCTGATGTTACTTTTTCTTCTCTGAATTCTCATTCAGAAATAAATTCTCATCCATGGGAACGTTTTAGAAGGAGAAAAAAGCCACTGACATAACCAAAGAGGAGCCTTGTTCTCCTGCAAGGGGAAGCAGTGGGTCAATGAAAGCCAGCCATAGCTGTGGCCTAGGGAATGTCCAGATGTCCTGTGGTCCCTCTTCAATGAGAGACGATATGTCCTACCCACAGCACGTCAGCTAAGGCTGGGTGTTACATGGGTATTTGCTGGTCATATTGACAGCAAATCTTTCTGTATAACTGAGGAAATTACCAAAGCTGCTGAGCATAAACAGGGAAAGGGGCTGCTGCACAGGGAATTGAATTTAGGGTCCTTGTGAGGAAGGTTAAAGGAATTTAGGGATAACATCAGACAGCACAGGCTGCTGTTTCTTCTTTAAAATGTGTTAAACTCAAAGCTGGCAGGAGAAATGGATGGGAGAGCAGAAGCAACGAGACGGAATCACCCAGAACCAAGCACTGGAACAGGGAATGATCCAGGAAAATGCAGCATGGGTTGCTCTGGAGGGAGGAGGAAGGAACCAGGAAGAAAGGCGGAAGAGGAGGAAGGGATAAAGGGGACAAAGGTGGACCTGTAGGAGCGAGGAAGACACACATACACACATGAGAAAAAAATACAGGCATTAGAACAGCAGCAAAGATATCAGCTTAGTAGCAAAAGATAGGGTTAACACTTTTTCAGCTGGGTTTTCTGAAGGGCTGTCTGCTCCCATCGTAACCTGGTGCCACCATCTTGGCTCTACGTGTCCCAGGCATTGAGCAACAGGCAGCAGGAGGGTTACTGGGGTTTAAAAAGCACTACTTGGCTTAAAGGAACTAAGAGGGTGCACAGAGGGTTTTGGCAAACTGTTCAGAAGCTTAACAGAGTTGATTTTCAATTTTTAATGTACTCAACACTGAAAAGCTTCATATGAAAGTGCCATGTATACTGCAGCTGGCCACAAAGAAAAAAAAATGAAGTGAGGTTTCCCAAGGGAACACATCTCCCACTTCCAAAAAGCCAGGTGTGGTATCCCTGGACCCACCCCCCTGTAGAACAGGTCAGGTCAGAGTGCTGCCTTTTCTTTAACTTCACAGATTTCTTCTCATTCATTTTGAGGTCTCCTGGCTGAACTGTCACAGTTTTGCCAGCAGTTAATTTGGGGGAGATTGTCTCTCATTTCTGAGGAGGTTCTGGCACAGCAGCTGTGCCCCATTGAGGGAAAACTAGTGCTCAGTTGGGAATACCGGGCAGCAGAGCAAATCCTGGGGAACAAGCACTGGGTCAATCTCTCCTAAATGGTGCTGGTAAGATGTCTGCAATGACTTCAAAGGGATGGAGGCATTCAGACAATATAGCTGAGAGCTCAGGGAAATTCTAGTAGCTTATCTACAGTCAGTGAAAAGCCCAGTGAAAAAACAACTGAAGAAGTCTAGGAATTCTGTTACGGCCATTTTCTGTTTAGAAGCCACGTGAAACAAAACATCATACATCTTAATAAGGAGGAAGTTAAGAAGCAAAGCCAGAAATGGAATAATTAAAAAAGGGGAGAACTTTGGAGCTCCCAGGATACCTTTCTCCCCTAGTTTAAGATGCCAATTGGCTACTGCTTTTCAGAACTGCTCAATCTATGCAGAGTAAGATCAGAAATACATTGCAGATAAGAACAGAGAACACCACTCAGTATGTACAAAAAGCAAATTCATATCATGAAATCACTGCATGGGCATATGAACTTATTTTCAGGTAAATTTAGGTGATACCAGAGTCTTATGAAGAAAGTATGCATGTGTATGTGTGAATACACACAAAAATACATACACATATACTATATTAAACTGCTTGATATATTTACACAATTGTAATCTTAAAACCATAATCCAGAAGTCATTTACACTTCTAAATATAAATTATATTCAACCATTGGTCTTTTTTCTGTTTTTAATCAGAAAGATTTGAGGCCTTCACAAACAAAAAACTCCTCATGTCACTGAGAACTGAATGGAAGAAGAGCTTCAATGCATGCTTTTTAGTCAGGGCTATCCTTCTAGAACACAGGTGTTTAGGCAGAAGAGCAGCCATTCGCAATATTGGTTTTGACCCAACTCTTCAGCACATCCACTCAGGGCAAAGCCTGAGAAGACTTCATGTCCAATTCTTTAATGTACATGAATTTATTATCTCTCAATTTCTCTCTTCCAGATTCTCTGGAGAATCATTTGCTTGAGGTCAACCTTCTTTTTCATGCTTCAGTGCAAATTCAAAAGTAACTTGGTAAGATTTAGCAGCTGTGTCTCAGTTCTCATGGTAGCTCTCATAGCTCTCTACGTACATCACAAAACAGAGAGTAGGATTTCCTAAAGTGTGACATGTGGTTTAACTCTATTACACATGAAGCCCTATGCTTCAGTGACAACAGAGTTATGACAACAGTGAAACATCAGAAAATCCATCCTGCATCTTTCAGAGAGATACAGTGTGATGTCCTAGAGGATGACATAAACTACAGGTATCACCTTCTAAAATACAGGTAGTAAAGTGATTAATGTGAAAGTCTAGCAGACAGAATTACATGCTAGCTATCTTTACATTGCCCAGAAATAACCGCTGTGCAAAGAACAAAATTTGCTTGGTAACTTACCCGGATTCCTTTGTCACCTGGCAGACCTTGTAAACCCTGAAATGCATCAGCACAAAAATAGAAATACTTTAACATTGTATGCCCACTCAAAAAGAAGGATTTGTGCCCAAGAGTTTGTCCCTTCCGCTTTTATCAATTACAAGATGGTAAAATCTAACATTTCCTGTAGACAACTTTCTTCCCACCTCCGTTAGATCATCCAGGCTAAAACACCACAGCTTTTTCTCTAAGTCAGAGGCAAGACGAGCTGAAAGAACAGAGCATTAACTTCACTGAAGGCAATTTTTGTCACTGTGATGAAAAGACTCTGCCTTCTCAATGCAGACACCTACCTGCTTTAGCAGGGGGTTGGACTTCATGATCTCCAGAGTCCCTTTCAACGCCTACAATTCTGTGATTCTGGATTAAGATACAAATCCTGGGAGTCTCACGCTGCTTCTTTTGGTAGTTTGAGGACTGTGGTAAGTTAACAGTTCCCTTCAGCTTTGTCTGCCTCATTCTGAATGACTTCTCTGAAACTACTCAGCTCTTTCTTTCACTCCCATAGGATACTTAAGCTCTTAAATTTGGTTATTTCACACCTAACCTAGCTGAAGTTGCAAATGCTATTTGCAACAGCAATTTAAGCTATCAACCACAACAAAATAGGAACTTGTAGATGGCAAATCCCTAGTACTCCTGTACTTACAGGAAGTCCTGCTGGTCCCATTGGTCCTACAACTCCAGGATCTCCTTTACTACCCTGAAATAGAGACAGAAGAGTAGAAACTGTTACACACCCATTCAGTATGAACAGGCAGCACAACAATGACTAACAAAATACTACAGAGGAAATGTAAAAGGTGTGTTTTAAAGCACCTAAATCCCCAAGAAAAAGACAGAAGTCAAAGATGCCAACTGTGGGTCTTTCGTACACAGAGAGAGAGAGAAAAAAATCCAGCTCCTAGAAAGACACAGAGCTTCCCCATTTTAAGGAGCTGTCATATCTTCAAAGAAGCTACAAAGTATTGCTCAGTTTTGAAACAAACTCACCCTTTCTCCTTTTGGTCCTGCTGGTCCCGAAACCCCAATTGGTCCTGGAGTACCCTGTAGTTGCAGGGAGGAAAACACACCAGGTCATTCTTACTGTGGGGCTTTGTTAAAGCCAGGAGATGCTGCTGCTCCTTCCGGAAAAAGCGCAGCTGAGAAGGACAGTCCAGTGTTTAAAGGCATCTAGCACCACTACAGCTTTCAGTGATGGTGGTGATGGGTTTGAAGAAGTTCTTGCATGCCATCCGAAGGCTATGCATAGGAACTGCACCAGCACCATCTCATAGAGTGTCCTTTCCTAATTTTGAAGCTATGCCTTGGCGGTTGTTACAGTAAGCATTTCTATTACTGCCACGATGGATTTTTTCTCTCCTGTTTGTCACAGATAAGGCTGAAAGCTGTAGCAGAACAAAGGCTATTTAGAAATATATTGAGTTTCTTTTCTTTCTATCATTTCCTTTCCCCCAGTGTCAGCTGAGATGGCAAAAATAAAAGAGTTTGCAGCCAGTCATGCAAGTTGAAAGACACCTGTGAAACTTGTTTTGGAGCACTGCCTGTTGAAGGGTCTGCTTTAACTCTTCCAGACCGCATTCTGCAGCCTAGATAAAGCACAGCCTTCAGATCTGTCCCGCACTGTTGCACAGTGAGGCATTCACCTTCCTAACTCTACCGTGTGTACTTTTGTCACACAGTGGCAACAGCTGCTGTTGTGAAAAGGCTGCAAGCAAGGTGACTGTGGAGAATGACAGGATAGAGATGGAGACCCCTCACAACAAAGCAGACAGGAGAACCGAGTGTCACTGAACCATGCAGAATTTGTCTTGTTATTGAGATGAAATGGAACAAGTAGGCTATGATGCTGGGATCCAGACAGACTCACAGTATCAAGAGACAAGTTTGTGACTTATCACTTCTCATCCTTAAGTTTAACACTTCCCCCCTCCCCCCCATTCCAAACCTGCTTTGGAGAAAATAATGTTATTTTTGGTGTAAACAAGACTGGTGAAAAAGACGAGACAAGTCACAGTACTGGGGAGAGGAACATAGGGCAATGGAGAAATGGAACTCACCGGTGGTCCAGGCCTGCCGTCTAAACCTGAAGCACCCTGAACAGATGGGGAAAGGTGAACAAAAACAAGGCAAGAGGAAAGGGGAAGAGGGTGAGGGGGGAGAGGAGAGGGGAGGGGAGAGGTGAGTGAAGCAGTGACTCCAGACAAACATACACTTGCAATCAACAAAAGCTAAGATCTCAAGGACAGATGATGGTGCTTACAAGCAAACCAACAAAAACACAGAAACATTGAATACGTATAATATTGGCCTGTAATATTTGGATCCCCCTCAGAATGCAAATTTCCCCTCTTTCCGTGCCATCAAGAAAACCTCTGAGGAAAAGGCTGCTCTGTTGCAGACAAGGACAACGTGACAGCTGAAACCTGCACTGCCTTTGTGGCAGAACTGGGTTGCCCTTAATTTTCTCAGCATGAAACCTAGCAGTTGTTCTGTTCAGGGCTTAGTTAGCCAGCTGCTATCACTGGTCCAACAGAACATTTCAACAAGAACATTTTTGAGACAGTCCTCCCCACTCCACAGCTCAGGAACCCTTGTGAGCCAGGGGGCTTTGATGCTGTTGGACTACAGAGGTCAAAAGACCAAGAACAGGAATGCAGGCATGGGGCCCTGATGGCTGATGGGGTTCAATGCATGGTAACTCTTGGGGTGTCTTGTGCTCAGTTGGTCGCAAGAACGTCCTTTCCCTGTCCTAGTACTGCATACACTTTAAAGAATAACTGTTTTTGCACAGAAAGCTCCCATCTGCATTTCTCAGAGCAGAATGGGAACTGAGGTTTTACTTCTCCTGGCTTCACTGCCCTTCAGATTAGAGCCTTCTGAAAGCATCAATTTCTCCCCATGCCATGTGTGCAGCCCATGGCAAAAACACACCTTATGAGCCCAGTTAGGTGCCTACAGTCAGATGAAATGCACCAGAGGCAGGAAGGTAACTGCTATAAATACAGGAAAACATTTTACAAAGAAAGATGTGCACATTTCAGCCAAAGTCAGCTTTGGGTGATCAAACAAAATCTGACAACAAAATCATAAAGCACGAGATGCACTCTTTGCAGTGCTCGTTTCCAGTCAGTACCATTTAGTGAAGAGAGAGGGTGTGCTTTACCATCAGTGCATTCACATGAGCACATTCACAATGCGAGCAACTGAGTAGAACTAAGTTACTGCTAACTCATCAGCAGCAGGTGAGTCTCAGACACCTGCTGTAGAGGCTTTCAGTAGATATGATCTGTGAGCTTTTCTTTGCAAAATTCTCAGGTTTGTATTTGAAGCTTGTGCAATTTTACCATTCTGCCAAAATCCTTCCTTGTAAGCTAAGCAATGCGTTAGCACTATTTTCATCCTGAATTAATCTACAGCAAGGAATACAGGAAGCCTCTCCTGCATCAGGGAAAGCATCATTTCCATTGCAGAAGTGATAGGAAAGCATTGGACAGCGAGGGTTGAATGCTTTCAAAAATGCCACACTTTTGTACAAAGCCTGCCCAGGAGACAAACTGTTGGGAAAAAGTCTCCTTTTCACTTCTGCACGTCTTTGTGCTTCAGGGAGATGATGCAAGGCCAGTTACAGAGGTTGCAAGTGACCTATGGGAAAGCTACTGCTTTTCCCAGAGCTGCCAGAAGCAGGAAGAACTAAAAAGATCGCTAAAAGGATCACAGGTTGTGTACAGAAATGGAGGCTTTGCGAGTCTAAGAAGCAATGGCACTGTTATTTATAGGCCATCTCTTTCTCTGACTTTACGTATCAAATCCCTGCATGCATCTCCTACCGAGAGATCTTTTTACGGCTGATACCAGTTTGGCTTGTAAAGCACTGCCTGCTTCCTGGATACTTACGGGTAATCCCAGTGGCCCTCTGTCTCCTTTTTCACCCTGGACACCCTTCTCTCCTTTCATTCCATCAATCCCTGCTTCCCCCTAAAGGAAGGATGGAGAAAATAAATCCACCATGACAGCACTTATATAACAAACAATCCTTCATTCCAAGAGCAACAAAGAAGCAGAGAATGCGAGAGGCAGCAAAAAAAGAGCTGTGCTTTAGCCCAATTCTTGGTTCAATCAGAAGAAAACCAGCATCAGTCAAAGTGACTTGTTCTAATCAATGCCAGTAAGAGGACAGTCAGGTCCAGAGGATAATTAAAGATGGTCAAAAGAGAACAGATCTTCCTGCTGTATTGTTCTCCCTGCTCTTGCAGGGAGCATCAGGTAAATGCAAGTATCTGGCAATGATCTGATAGGGTGGCTTTGAATTTTAAACTGGCAGTTCATTGGAAGGGAATGACCAGTGTCTATAAGCTTTGAAAAAAGTCAAAATCTTTTGGAAAACAGACTTTCCCTTTCCTTTGCACCTGCCAGCCAGTAGATTGGGCATAAGCACGTGTAGATGGAGACGAGAAAGCTTTAAATCCCTGGGAACAGTGAAGTTCTTAATGGCATTACAGCAGCATGTACAGCATATCGAACCTGGCTAATTTTAAAATAGAGCTCAGTTGCTTTGGATTGTATGGCAGGTTGTCCATCCCGCTGTACAGACCTTTACCCTTCAAAGATTTCAGCTATGTTCTCATAGGAAAATTTCCAAGGACCAGAGGCTTCCCACTTCTCTGGCTGAGAACAGGAGAAAATGACCACTTTTCTGGATGGATGCTACTAATCCAATCCCTTCAGGATAATATACAGACAGTTTTGTTCTCTTACCCAATATGGAAGAACGGCAACTTTGAAAGCTGGGAAGCTGCTGCTGTGAGGAATTCTGGCACTTTGGATAACTCTAGCAAAATTTCAGGATTGAAAATTTGACAGCCTTACCTTTGGTCCTGGAAGGCCCTGAAGACCCTGTGTTTGGAATGAGAAATGAGATATGAGCAACACTTAAGGGCGTGCCTTAAAGCCCAGGCACGTCAGTTCACTGGGCAACATAAAGCTTTCATTTCCTGATACACTGAGGGCACAAATGCTTAGCCCAAAGGCCTCTTTATTTGTGTAAAGGGCACTTCACGTACTGTTCTCATCTGGCAACGAGGAGGCTCTCGCCAAGAACAACCTGGCAGCAGGCCAGGCTTGCTATTAAGACCATTTTTGCACTTGATCCTTTTAATCCTGTCCATCCCATCTCACTACTGTCTTCCCTTTCATCTCAGGCTAATCTAACCTCTCACCTTTTAACTTCCCAGCTCATCGTAGCTCTGACCTACCCTGGAGGTAATTCTGGAAGTGACACTAAGTGCATTGCTGCTTCAATGTTGCAGGTAATTCTGGAAGTGACACTAAGTGCATTGCTGCAGTTTCTGGCAGTTTTCTGCACCTCAAATCCTCCCCAGCCACTTTCATCTCATTCACACTCCCAGTGCCTCTCTCCTCAGTGAATCACAACACTTACTGGAGGTCCTGGTGGGCCTTGAGGTCCGGGGGGGCCAGACATCTAGAAAACAATGCGAGAGAAGTCAGTGTCAAGCTGCTGGCTTCAGCATGTGAAGGGAAACTGCTCAGGGGGGAGGCAGGGCACGTGGAGCAGCTGAGCTCCACCAGGCTTGGAAACCTGGACTGCCCCAGAGGGCTGCGTTCAGAAGCGACAGCAATCCAGGACAGAGTAGCCAAGCAGCAGCAGCAGGATGCTGGAAAGGGTTATTGCAGTAGTTGCAGAGATTCAGAGGAAAGGAAAGCAGTGATATTTTTACAGAAAAAAATACACTTCCACTAGTCTTGCACTGTTACTTCAGCTAGCTGTTTCAAAGTATAAGAGGAAGGTAGCTAGCTCTACAAACATGGATACTGATAGCCTGAGGGACTCCTCTCTGCAGGGCATGATGGAAGTTCAGTAAGCTTTGAGGAGAAAAGGGGCAAATTCATTAAGCCAACATATATTGAAAATATCTAGGTCCAGGCAGGTATTTTTTTTAGAAAAATCCTTCACCACAAATGTTGAGGAAAGTAATTGTGTGCTTCCAACTATCTTGTGCTCTTCCTTAGGCATTCATTATTGATTGCTTGTGAGTTAGACTGTTCTTGTGTAGAAGAAAAGTAGGGCATCAGGAGCTAAAGGTGGCCAGCAATTCTGGCAGTTCAGTCCCACAAGATAAAGCTTGTGGGATGCATCATAAGAGGATGTCTGCTGCCAAAGCCATCCCTCCCCTGCTGCGAAAAGGAAATGAGATAGGTGACCTACCGATTCTCCTGGATTTCCTTTGTCTCCACGCTCCCCAGGCTGACCCTTCTCTCCCTGCACACAACAACACAGCCTGTCACTGCCAGCTGCCTTCTGGAGTCTCACTCCTCCAGAAGCCACGTGTCAACCACCCAGATGCTGAGAAGCAACAGTGGCCAAAAGGAGGAGTGAGACTATACTATACTTTTGAATGCCAAAAGTGTGGCATTTCTGAAAGCATCTCAAAGCTTCACTAACAGCTCACTGATGTCTCTTCAGCACCTCTGCTTCCAGAGATGACAACTTTACAAAACTGGAGGTCTCTGGGAGCGGTGTCCTGGGGCTGTGTAAGGGGAGCATGGGACTTTGTCCACCTTTCCCCAACAACAGCCTGACATCTCTGCCGCACTACAGCCTCCCAGGGAGGGAGCACAGCAAGCCACTCAGAAGAAGCCTCATGCTGACAGCAAACTAAGTATGGGCCGCCTTAGCTGTACAGGCTTTACAGGCAGCTTCCAGAGCCCAGCACCGCCAGAGAGCAGTGGGAACTAATGCTCAACTGGCTGCCTGCCTGCTGCTGGAGATCTGACAGACGTCTGCTGATGCTGAAGCACCTAGCTCCAAGGGATAGGATGGTCTAAGGATCCTGAGATATACTGCACTTTGGAAAACACGTGTTGCTCTGTACTGTTTTTAATTCACTGAGCAGGAAAGGTCAGCCTGTCTTTTTCACTCTTACTGTCAATCCTGGAAGTCCAATGGGACCTGGCAATCCTGGTGGTCCTGGCATCCCTTGGTCGCCTCGTTCTCCTTTCTCTCCAGTGGGGCCATCAAGACCCTATGAATCAAGAAAGATTTGCAGCTTTTTGCAAGACTTTTTTGCAGGTATTACAGATACCATTGCCAGAAATCAGTTGTGCCCTGTGAGCTCCAAGAATACAATGGAAAACCCAGAGAGCTTTCAGGTATACAGGAGAAGGCAGGGCTTTGCTGATATTGAAACCAGACAGTAATATGCCTGAAACATCCTCCTGTCATTGTGGATGTGCCATTCCCCAGAGTCGCAATGAAGGACTGCTTTCCTGCCCCCAAGTTCTGCTTGTGGTTATGCAGTTTGCTGCAGTACATGCTAGAAATCACTCCAATAGCTAGTTGTTGTTACTGCAAGAGCTTTATCCTAGTAATCCTGCACAGAGGCAAAAACTCACTGCATAAACCCTCTTGACTGCTGTTAGGGTGCAGAAGTTGTGACAGGCTCAAGCTAGGAAATTGGGCACTCTGTCCCAGTTGCTTAGGGTCTTCGAGTTATCCCACAGCTCCACCCAAAACCTGAAGAGCCACAAGAGCAGAACGCTGCTGAGGGGCTTCAATGTACTCACTGGTGAGCCTGCTTGTCCTGGCTCTCCTTTATGCCCCTTTTCTCCTGCAACCCCAATCTGGCCTGGCTCTCCCTTTATTCCAGGTGGTCCATCCTTTCCTGGCAGTCCATGAGGTCCAGGGGGGCCCATTTCTCCTGGCTTGCCTCGTGGTCCCTAAAAGAAATTCACTCAGTAAGTGAGACTGACAGGTAAGAGAAATGTTAGCCCTGCAGAGTGATTCCCTAGCTCAGAGCCTCTGCTGCTCATTCTCTAATAGTAACACAACTGGAAGAATTACAAACAGGAAGAAAAAAAAAAAAGGGAAAAAAGAAGCAGGTTTTCCCTGCCATTCCAACTGTTCCATAGAAGTTAATACTCTGATAAGCCACTAATGCTTATTTCTATGGAGCCAAACCACTTCCCTCTCCCACCTCCAAGTGGAAAAGCAACTGTGCATAAGTATCAGTGCAAATTATCTCCAATTAAGGCTACTGAAGGATGAAACAATCCACAGAGGAAGCCTGTCTTACCTTTTCTCCATCATGGCCTGGAGGACCTGGTAAGCCAATTTCACCCTGAAACACAAAATTGTTACTTTGGCCATTTGAAAGCAGCCTTGTTTACCCAGAATGACAGTTCATGGCCCCAGCGCTATTGGCAGTCTCCAAACAACACCAATTCCCACAAGATGTTTTGTGAAGGGGATGGTGAGTAGGAAGGATCCCTCATCTCTGAGATAATGCCTTATCACTGTGGGAAAAGGGATTCAGGATGCCATGGCTGAGGAGGAGTGGAGCCTGGCAGAACAGGGTCTGACAGTGCTGCTAGGAAGAAGAGGAGCACTGGGGAGAGACGTGTGTGAATTCTTCCCCTAGCTCTGCAGTACCTTCTGTCCTGGTGGCCCTGGAGGTCCAGCCACACCTGGAAGTCCTGGCGGTCCCTAGAAAAAGTAAAACTCATTTTCAGAATATTATCAGGGCTTTCATTTTTGTGTTTTGTAACCAAAGATCTCTTCTGTGTTTAAGGGGAATTTTCCTGGAGACTCCTAAAATTGCATTTGCTTGGAAAGCAAAGCAATACAGAGACCTACTAAGCTACAGCCAAAATCCAAAAAGAGTTATAGATACTTATGCATTCCTCTACTTTCTTATGGAAGAAAACAAAAATGACTACAGCTATTCACTCTTAGAACTGAGACAAACTTAACAAGGATTTTCCCTTCCCATCTACAAATACATATTTTTAGATTAATAGAGACCATAAGAAACATTACACTTCTTAGATCCCATGTGCAGCTTATGCAGAGCCAAGAGTGATGATAGATCTTGGCAATTACTGCTTTAAGGAGACCTAGGCAGCAGCTCAGCCTAGATGCTTATACCCATTTTCCTTTGCCCAGCCTTTTCTCCCCCATTCAAGTGTCCTGTTGTCCTAAGAAACAAAATACACAGATGCTTTCACCCTCTTCTTTGGCTCCAAGTAATTACTTTGCCTTTCCTTTCAAAGGGGTTGTTGTTGTCACTGCTGTTTTAAATGATTTAATTTAATGATTTTTGTATGGGACGTGTATCAAGTTATACTTATCAATGATGAAAATATGTATTCCCCTCTCATTATAAAGTGTCTGCCAAGGGCTGCCAATGAGTCTTCTTTATCTTGGTCAGCCCCCTTACTCTTCCCTGCCCCTTCTGAGCAGGGAACATTACCTTGTAGAGAAATAAAGGGCCTGATCATAATTCAAGTGCCAAGATCAGATGGCAAAATGAGCTCTTCCTTCAGCTGTCAACACTGCCCCAACAGCTAAACAGACCTCAGCTGTGCAAAAATGGTGCAGGTATCTGCTTAGGATGAACACATGGCTAATCACTTAGGGCCACACAGTGAAGCTAGGAACTCACCATCAAGGCTAAGGTTCGTATTTCCTAGAAGAAAAAGAAAGTGAAGAAATAGAAAAAGGGTAACAGTCATTTAAAAACAAAGCTTCTTCCCAGACCTTGTTTCATAGGACCCTACGAAATGAAGCCAAAAAACAGCTCTGAGTCACATGGAGCGATGCAGCAATTTCTCCCCACCATCATCACATTTTTTTCTCCCAAAGAGAATCCAGACTAACCCAAAGCTGGGCACAACTGCTCAAAGCACACACCTCTGAGGAGCCTTTACAGTGCTTTTATTCACCAGTCTATCCTAAGGCTTCAATCCCTGTCCCACTCTTCAGGGGATTCCCATGGCCTTACTGTCTGCCAGACTTAATTTCTCACTTAAATAAGATACACAGATATTTATCAGAACAGTATGCAGGGAACTGTGGGACTAACGGTGCTGTAGAACAACCAAATATTTTTCTTTGTTGTTAGTGCTGAGGAAGATTTACACTGCACTGGGTTTTCTGCATCCCCTGGGAAACCAAACAGTCACCTCACGGATAGCAGGACAGTGCTCACCTGGAGAGCTTCACTGATGTTACCATCGTAGTCCATCATTTCATCCTTTCCAGGCTCTCCTTTGGGACCCTGCAAAATATCCGACCTTCACTCAGAGCTTTGGGATCACCTTCCCCATGGTATAGCATAGGATCTATGGGGGTCACCCTAAAAAAATCCCTCAGAGAGGGATCTGTTTCACAAGGTTCTAGTTTTTCATTTCTTGAACAAAGCTCTTAAAAGCGTATTTTATAGAGGGAACACTGTAGAGCTGTAGCCAGATGACCTGCAGGTTACCGTGCCATAACTGTCAGAATTTACAAGTCTGGTACATGGTGAAGCTGAGGCCAGAATCCAGGAACTGTGTCCACTGACAGATTTGCACTGCCATTTGCTGATATGCCAAGGGCCTGAATTCAGACTGGGTTCCCAGACTGACTCCTCTACAAATGAGCAGAGCATTCACCCTCTTGAGCTTAAGAAGTCTTCTCCCCTGAAGGAGAAATATCTGCTGATGAAGGTATGGAGAAAGAGCCCGCAAACTTAATCACTGCCCAGCTTGTAAGCCCTTTAAGAAATGGTGAAAACATCAAGAAAGCAAAAGCCCAAGCTAGACCATCAGTGTGGTCCCACTATCCTTAGACCTCTTTGAAGGGCCAAAACTATACGAAAGCATTAGTGAAGGGACACCTACCCTAGGCCCCATGGGTCCCTGCTCTCCTGGTGTACCACGTTCTCCCTGTAACAAGAAGATGCTGTTAGCAACGTCCATCACTACAGTTGCTTGAGCTCCAGCAACCATTGGACTCTACAAGTCCTCTAAAACGATTTCCAACTAAGTTGGAATAGAAAACCTTGCACATAAGCTGCAATACTTCAGCAACACCAGAAAGTAGCTTTTTTCTGAGAAAGTATTCTTCCAAAATACCTGGAGGTATACCTGTTCCCCAGACCAGTCTGATGTACTCTCTGGCATACCAGAGATTCAGTGTTCACTGCTGGAAGAGCTGGTTCTGAGGGATCAGGTCAGCCTGTTCCATTAACATAGGTTCAACCAATTCAAGTGGTGGCCAAACCTGTGCTTAACCTTCTGCTTTTCACCTTCACCCTAGACAGCTCAGTTTTAAAATGCTTCATTTCTGTTAAGTTTTCAACATATAGGAGTATTTTTTGTATTACCAAACCCAGAGCTGGACTGCCCACAAGCCCTCTGTACCTTTTCCCCCCGTGATCCTGCAGCACCAACGTCACCAGCTTCTCCCTGAGAGAAAAATAAATGGATTGGACTGAATTGCATGGGCAGGGTGCAACTCTGGTGCTGGCTTTGCTTTCCCAGTAGGAAGAACTGCACTCCGGTGTGTCACACCTCCTCAGTTAACCCCAATCTCCACCCATGACTCCACACCCCAATACCTTTCTCCACCACCCCCCACCATGAGAACAAACTCACTCAAGGGTAAACTGCTCACCTTTGGTCCAGGGGGCCCAGGCAGACCAGGAGGGCCAGGTTCCCCTTTGCTTCCCACCAAGGCATTCTCACCATTTCCCTTCTCTCCCTGCATGCAAGGAAAAACAAATCCATTCCATTTCTCTAATTTCACTTGCCAAGCTGCTGATTCAGAGAGACAGGGCCCAGAACAAGCTTACCCCTGTCCTTCCATCAGCTGGGCTCTGGATAGCCCAGGAACATCCCTGCCTCAACCAGGGGCCAGGGGCCGGGCCAGTACAGCTCTGCCTGGGGGCTCTAGCAGTAAGAGAAAGCAGTGTTCACGTGGCATTGTCATTAAACTCCCATCCTTTCCTGACATGGTCACTGTCATTAAGCGCGTTGTCCCCTTTTCCAAAGGGCAAGTTCCTGGTGAAAGTCTGACTGAAGGTGTGATTGCTATCTTACTTCTCAGCCCCTACAAATCAAAAATGTTTACCATAGGGAAAGGGCTGCATACAGCTGGCACAGGGAAGAAGGAAAGGAGACAAAGAGTGGTCTCCAACTCATGGAAAATACAAACCTTCGGGCCAGGGAGCCCAGGATCACCAGCTCGGCCCTTCTCACCCTGTGGAAGAAACAGACACAGTCGGGATCTGATTTGGCAGGTCGTCCTGGACGAGCAGCCAAAGGATAAGTTCATAAAATCATTAATCATTAAGGTTGGAAAAGACCTCTACGATCATCCAGTCCAACTGTCCACCTATCACCAATACTGCCCACTAAACAATGCCTCTAAGTACTACCTCTGCCCTTTCCTTAAATGCCTCCAGGGATGGCAACCTCTCCACTTCCCTGGGCAACCTTATCCTCAGTAGCGAAGTTTCCCACCACACCTAGTAAAGGATGGAGATTCTCCTTGGCCCTCCTCTTACTGTTAGTATATTTGTAAACATATTTTTTGTTGTCCCTGACAACACAAGCTGTTCCTGCTTTCAAATCTTTGTTCTTTCCTTTCAGGGACATTATTTTAGGCAAACCAAGGCATCTGCCAGCAGTACCTGCTCAAGCAGGAGACTGCTTTCTCCAGTGTTTCTGCATATCTCCACAAATCACTGCCATATCTTTCCAAATGAAAATGAATCCCCATTTTCTTTTTCTTATTGCTCATCTGTTAAGCCCTTTCTCCTGTCAGCCCTTCAACATGGGTTCTCCCCATTCCACACACCTAGAGAAGCTGCTGCCCAGAATGAAGGACTTTTTCCATGCCCCGACAGAGTTCAGCTCTTCCTACACAAACTGTCCACTTCCCAATACTCACTGCTCAGACCTTCCAGTTTCAGTGGCCAATACTGCTTTGGCAAGAATCTGCTACACCTATCCCAATGGAACAAATCCTGCTCCTGGCTCCAAACCCCAATTTCATCATGCTCTTTAAATGAAAGCAGTGCAGCATCTCAGCTATCAGCCAAGCTCTGTGACACGCAGTGGTGGTGAAAAGCAATGAAAAGAGTGGCAAAAAAGGCAAGAAGAGGTGATGGTTTGAGACCCGTTGATGCAATGCCTGGTGAGCATGGTCTGCAGGTGAGCTGTGCAAGGCACTGCAGGCAATGAGCAAAGAGGGTGTCCAGCACTAGCACTCACTCGGTGAAGTGACTTTGCTTAGTTCACCATGGCGTTCAGATCACCCTTTGAATTACTCCTGAAATTAAGTTTTGTTCTGCCCATTCCATCCAACTGCTAAACCCATGGTTCTCAGCTACAGGTTGCTGCATGGGACTCAGTATGTCGTAAGGACAGTCTAACAGAGCTTTCTTCATTGCCAGGAAGAGAGGTTTCAAATGAATAATCAGAAAAAGGTTTTCTTACCTGCAATCCTCACAAGGTCTCCAAAATTGACTCATGCAGATTACAAAGAACAATTCAAAACCTCTCTTCTCTGCTGCTCTCCACAAAAGCAGCACAGCAGACCAACAAGACCAGCACAGAGGTTCTCTTGGTGCCATGCTGCTGCCTGCACAGACAGGTGCTGCACACCAGTCTCATCAGAGCTCAGGAGCACACATCTGACATGTGGAGGGCTTGCATCAGTGCTCCAAGAACAGACATGCACTTTCCATGGAAAATAATTAGAAAGCACTAATCTTTTTTTGTTTGTTTGTTTGTTTGTTTGTTTCTTCTAGGCAACTCTGGAGTGCAGTGGCCCATTCCTTTAAGGTGATTTGGTCTGAAAGGCCCCCACCCAACTCTCTCCCCACAGCCACATTCTGCCTTTCTCTGCTTTTGGTACCATACTTCTCATTCAAGGATCGCGCCAGTAGGGGCTACACAGAACTTCCTTCAATTATTCCCAGGAAAAGACTGTGTCCCAGGTACTTCATGCTACCCTGCTTGCTGCCAGCCCCCCACCTCCTACAAGCAAGAACACACAAACACACTTCAACAGGGCAAGAGCCAGAAAAGGACACATGATCCCTGCAAGCACAACGATGCAACGCAAAGCAGGCTGCTGCCAGCTCCCACTCCTGGGGAACACAGCACACCAAGCCCAAACACACAATATCCTACCCGCTGCCCCCTTTTCCCTGGCAAACCTGGGGGGCCCATCCTCCCTGGGACTCCAGGCTCTCCCTTCATGGGGAAGAAAAGAGACAGAGAGCGTCTGTTACATGGCTGCCGCATGCTGTAACACAACCCAGTGAGCCTCAAACAAGAGAGGCCAGCTGTTCAGAAACCAAACTGGCTGCTTAGTGATGGAGAGTGACAGGGTATTTTTGTACTGTGTCCACCACAGGATCTCACACCAGGTCACGCTATGCTGAAACTGTGCATGACCAGAAGCAGGACAGGGCAGCCCTCAGCATGTGACAGAAGAACAACGTCCCACAGTCCCTGATGAACTGTGGCAGTACCTCTGGTGGGCACAGACGTGCTGGGAGGCAGAGAAAGCAAGCTGGCTGAGCAAAGTGTGCTGTGGGCATTTTGTGGGGTAGGGAGAAGGGGAAGAAGGCAGCTGGAAGGAAACCCCACCAACAGACTCCAGCTGGAGGGAGTGGATTTGTTTGCAGGATGGGCTCTCACTGTACACTCTTGCCATTTTCTATTGCCATTGCTTATGCTGGCAGGTGTCACTAAGACCTGGATTTGTGCCTTGGGGAACACAGAGCTGTTCCTCAGCTTCTCTGGGGGAAGTGGGGAGAAAAAAAAAAATCACAAAAAAAAAGATCACAAACAAAACAGAAGAACAGCCTCAGAGCAATGCTTTCCAAGTACCTTTTCTCCTGGAGTCCCAGGCTCACCCTAGTAAGGAAGAGACAAGAAAATAAAGTGAGAAAATAGAAAGTGAGCACCTTAGAGCTAACAGGGTGGAGAAAGGAGCATTCATCTGTGGAGGTCTTGCGGTGTGAGGATGCTTTAAAAGCCTATTAGTACTTCTGCCTAAAGCTTGTTTCATCTTTATTAGCCAGCTCCTGGACTGCTGAAAATAAACAGCAAGATGGAGTAACCACCTTGCTGTGCTTCAAGAAAAGACTTGCCCATATTAAGTCAAGAGTCATCTGCTGGCACTCACCTGCTGCCACTAAGGAATTTACTTACTCCTATCTCTGCACAGGAGCACAGCAAAGCTGAGGATATGGCAAGGATGGAGGGACATGTCAACATGGGAACAGTGTGGCATCAGGGAGAAAAGCTGTCCCCACCAGTTCTGGGATAACCTCTTTATCTCTGCCTTTTCCTCAGCAGCTGGAGTCAGTCAGGACAGCACACCTCAGCCCCACCAAGATGACTTACATTGGCACCTAGCTCACTTTTTGCTCAGCTGCCATCCTGATACTGCTGTGGAGTGCCACCTGTCTTTGCTCAGAGCGCTGTGGAGCAGCAGATGAAGCTGAGGACAGATGAAGCTTTTCTGCCAGAAGCTACAGCAGTTCTGCCATTCCCCTTCAGTGGGAGCTGTTTGACCATTTTCCTTCGCTCTCATAGCTCACTGGCTCTTAAACGCACCCTTCTTGAAACACTGAAGCGTAGAGCAGAACTGACCTTCATCCCTGCCGTGGCAATTCCAGGAGCACCCTGACAGAAAGAGAAGATAGGAACGCTTTGTTTGAAACTGAATTAATTATTTTGTGTGTGTGTATATATATATATATATATATTTTTTTTTTTTTTTTTTTTTAAAGAAACAAAACACTATCAGCCAGGTGGAACTATGAAGGGAAAATCCACAACTTTTCCTTTCCAAAACTCAGAAGTAATGCTGTAACACCACACAGCACACATCCTCCTTCCCTGTATGGGTCGTTCACCTATAACAGTGGCTCTGCTTTCCAAAAAGCTCACCCAAAGACAGATAACATGGGCACAACCCAGTTAGGAAAACCAGATTTCCACCCCGAGCGTCAGCCCTGCTGGCGAAGCCAAGGGCAACAAGCAGCATCAAATCAAGTAAGCAAGGAAAGCAAAGTCAGATTGAGGACCAAACACTCCGTTCAGTTTGATCCCAGATACATCATCTCAAGCGCTCCGAGGAACACCAGTTTTTAACACCAGAGCCTTGGTCTCATTTGCCCATATTCTGTTCTCATCTCAGGGGACTAACACTGCAGTAAGGTGGCTTCAGGAGAGCTGTGAAGCCAGCCACCCTAGGGGATAAAAAGACTCCCAAGCATGAGCACCTTCTCCTCAGCAGCAGGAAAAAAATGCAAGTCTGGCATCAACCCTTTGCTCTGGAATCTCTGTGTTAGTACGAGTTAGGGCCTGGTGAAAATGTCCAGTTACAAAAGCAAATATGAGGGATAACAGGGTCTAAGGAGGGGAAGTAGGAGGGGGAGGAGGTGAAGTAGTGTTAGAAGGTGGGATGTAATAGGGGTTGGGATGTAGCACATGAGGCAGAGAGGAGGAGTGGGAGCCAAGTTCAAGGTGAAGAGAGCTTGGAAAAGTTCAAACAAGGAGGAGTGGGGAGCCAGAGAGCAGCGGGATCATACCTCTCAGCTTTCTGAAACAAATCAGGGACAAAGCTAAAAAACACAAGGATAGAAGATGGAGATCAGGGATTCTATGCAATAAAAGGGGAAAAAAGCATTCCAGAATTTCTCAGGGGTCAGTAGGTTTTAGTGAATATGGGCTAGAGTCATGAAAGGGATTATGTGCAGAAAGTGGCTTGGGTTAGGCTTTCATGGTACGTTTGGGATGCCTTTTCCTCACTTTGGCCTTTAAATGGCAGTGGATGCAGACATCATTTTCTAGTACTTACTCTAAAGCTGCCATGCACACATGCAGGCTCGCTCACGCACACTGGCCCTGATGCATCGCTGCATCAACCCAGGTTCACACTTGCATAACCCTGCTGACTGCAGCAGGCTAACACATTGGGACCCCCATTTTATGAAATGCCAATTTCCTAGAATGTTTGTAACTGGGTCCTCTCACTAGCATTGAGCATTAAGTTCCTGACGTTGCAAGACAGCATCAGACTGGGTATGCCACTTTCTTTTTAAAAGACTTCTCTCCCCGTGGTCACCGTCATGAATCAGGCCTATGCTTTGCAATTTAGAAGCAGAAAGAATTCAGCTGAGGACAGTCATCGACCAGTAGACACACACACCAATCCAGGTGATGCTTGTGCATCAGGGACAGCTGAGTGGTAAGGCTGAGATCAGGCAGACAAGCATCACTCCACTGTTCACAAAGTACCTTCATGCCATGTCTTCCTGGCAGCCCTGGCATGCCTCTCTCTCCCTGGAAGCAGAGCAAGAAACAGAAAAAGAGCAACAGATACAGCATGAGTCCTCCCAGGGCCCTGTGAGGAGGGCCAAGTACACCTTCTGCCTATAAACTTCAGGGGCACCGTGGCCTTTTGACTCTTCTGAGTGTTCAGTCCTTTCTTGTAAGTTTGAGTACGTCTCACCCTATGCAGTATATTGTAAGAAAAGTATAAGAAAAATAAACCAGTAATTATGAATGCTTTGTACTAGAGAAGTGAAGATCACCCTGTGCCCCTCTTTCCAGCTGTGTGCTGTTTTTCTTCTTAAACGAGACAAGACCAATGCTGTCTGCTGGGCAGCACCCACACTGCAGGTTCTAGCCCCATAGAGCAGCCCCTGGGGGAAGTAATCCCCCATTCCAGAGAGTTTCCTGAAAGATGCTACCTGCTTGAAGAGCTCTTTAATTATTTAGCCCTGCAAAAGCAAAGCCAACCCAGTGAGAGCAAGATAACCTCTTACAGGGAGCAAGTTACAGAGCAACCACACTGCCTTGACATTTCCTAACTATGGCCCCCGCACATTCACACAGCCCTCATTAACACCTGCAGGATCACACAGGCGCTAGAGCTAATTAGAGAGCAGAAACAAGCATGGCACTGCATCATTAAAGAGCAGTAAGAAAACTCGGGGCCAAAGCCAGAGGACAAGCAGGAAAAGCAACTCTCCAGAACATCTCTAAGCCCCTAATTATTTGGAAATCTTTGTACAGTAAGGCCTCAGCATGCCGAGCCCTCTCTGGTCCTGCTGTGTCCTTTGGGCCAGGGAAGGGCTGCACAGGGTGCCGCAGCCAGCACCAGAACAAGGCAGGCAAGCCAGAAACTGAGAAGCATCACCGAGGGCAGAAGCCAGAAGCAAAACACCCAGCTCACATCCCCAGATTATTGTTGCTCTTTTCTCAGAGCATGGGAAAATGCCTCATCCTAAGGACCATCACGAAAAAGAGAAAAATATACACCAGCTAGGGCAAAATTGATGGTTAACCTGGGGACAGCAAATCAGATGCTTATTCAAATGACCCAGCTGATCATACTTACACCTCGTGTAATGTCCTTCATGCAACATTACTGTCTACCTCAAGGTTAGGAACAAGAGGTTTGAATGCAACCTGAAAGCTTCTTCAACAGGGCAGGGCCTGTAATGTTCTCTGCTACCAGAAAAAGCAGTGATAAGCTACGCAAAATAGATCCCTAGAGATAAACTATGAATCACCTATAGTATTTGAACTGACTCCCCAAAGAAAAAGAAAAAAGACTCTGGTCCATGTAATTGAATCCAAAGGTGGAAACATTAAAAGCTTCCCAGGGTCCCAAATGACCTTCCTGGAAGGGAGGCAGACAGGAAAGAAGAAATTTCCAAAGGCAACAAATTCGTGCACCATGTGGATGTTCAGGAGCTGCTACTGGCTGATGTCTGGCTGCTGATTTAGGGGTATCTCTGCACTTGTATTTCAATCCCTCAGAGCAAAGAAGAAGGGAAAGAGAGAAAAGTGATATTGACAGTAACAAATGAAAGTCTGAGTGTGGAAGAATAGGCTGGTTTGGGACTGGGAGGTGACCCTATGGAGCTCCTATTTATTAGCACAGAAAGCACAGCAGGTTTTGTCTCCACTCTTATGAAACAAGATGAGTAAGGGCCAAAGTAGCTAGAGCATGTCCCCAGGGTCTCACTGAGTCATTGCTCCCTAACAGCACAGAGAAGCCTCTCAAGTGTGTGTGACCCTGAGATATAGCTGAAGCCTTGGAGACTTTCCTTTTGCCAGAGCCCAAATACAAAGAGCATGCAGAATTGCTGCAGAGTGTAGAAACAGCGGGAGGAAAGGATTGCCTCTCCCTGTGCTTGGACCAGGCTGCCTTGCTATAACAGGTGCCAATTCCATTCCCCATCTCTGCCCCTGTTCCCTTCCCAGAGCCACTGAGAAAATAGGACGAGGAGTCCACGAGGAGACCCTAGGATCTCCCAAAACACGCCGATGCCAAAAACTCAATTGGAGTTGATGAGAAGGTTTAGGAGGCCTTCCCAGATTCAGTATATATTGCATACGGTTTGTTTTCACCTCATCTGGGATTAGGAAATTTCTGTTAGTGTTCCAGAAGATAAATCAGAGGCTGATTAGTCCCTGTATGTGGGTGCAGGCAGAGCAGGTGCCTGCTGACTGTGAAACGTGGGAGCATTAAGTAGGGGTGGAAGGCAGTGTTTCCTTCCAGACACGTCTCCCATCTAAGCCACACTCCAACTTCAGTCCTGCAGTTCAGCTTAGCAGGAAAGCATCTGGCCGTCGAGACAGCAGAAAATTTGTAGCTCCCAAAACACACTAGTTTTGGGTGCAATTCTTCTCTCATTTACACCAGCACAGACCAGGAGCTTTGTGCTCTATGGAATTACGCTGATGTGAAGATGGATACAGGGGAACCTTTGGACTTTACATGCACTGTATTATTTCTGAAGATGAATTGCCTTCTTATTGGAAGGCAATTACTGCTGTGTTCCCAAAAGATTTTTCTATGAATTCTATGTAACACATTCACATTAAGTTCTGGAGGTGCATTTTCTGCCTTTAAATAGTAATCCACTCAGATGGAAAAAGTATAGAAAGTGTATATGCTGCACAATAAATGAGATGCGTGACACATACGAAATACTTTAAATGTATGTGTCACTGCTAATGCTTTTCAAAATATTACAGAACCAGCTCTCTCTCATGATGTTTAAAATGTATGGCATGACGGAGTATGCTCTGACTCAATGAACACTTATCAGTGTTGTAATGTTTTAAGCACAACCTACATTAAGTTATATACTTCAAATATATGGGTACAATAAACTTTAGTCAGTTAACATCTGGGCACAGAGCATATAAACCTGTAAGAAGTGTCCAGAAACAAACAGAAGAGCCTGATGCCAAAGCTCAGCCTGAGTTGCAGAGATTGAGCAGATTTGATGCGTCAGCTAACCAGATTTTATGAAGAAACCCCAACCCATCCCATCAAATGAAGAGATGTAACAAATCATTTGCAAGCTTCATAGTCAGAGAAATGCCTTTGGTAAGAATCAAATTCCACCAAAAGGATAAAGGGTGCTTTTATTGCCTGAGCTTGGAGAGTCTGCTTGCGGTTAATCACAGCACAGATGTGTACTCCATTAAATATCCCACAGAGCTGCTCAGACCCAACTTCCTCTTACAACCCATCAGCCCAAGGAGCAGCATCTCCCAGATATCTATCACAGTAGAAAACCACATTCCTCATACCTACCTTTATGCCAGTGTCCCCTTTTTCACCCTGCCCAGCAAAGAACAGAGAGAAAATACACAGAGGGACAGTGAATGTGAGGAGAAATTGAGCAAGCAGAACAATCTTCACAGCAAGGGCTAAGGAGAAAGTTGCCAAAGAAGGGAGTATGCAATAAAGGCAAACACAGGTCTCTAGAGAGACCACAACACCAGTCTGAACACTGGCTGTAACACATCCCTCCCTGGGAACTGCAAGGCAGTGCACCTTGCTGGAGTGGATGCTGGAGGTAGTCCATGTTAATGCTTCCTACATATTTTGGGTGTAGACTAATCAACCATCAAGCTGTTTCATGAAGCAGACCCAGCCTTAACATAAAACCATCTAAAAGCTGGGTCAGATTTATTCTTGAACAGGGGCCTGTGCAGGGCTAATCCTGGTCCTGGTTCAGGACAGCGGGGAATTGCTCTGGCCAAAAATCCTCCAGACCTTTTACACAGGAGCAAGTCTCTGTTTACATGGTTTGCAGTCTGCTACAGAGAACCTGCACCTGGACCCTAACTCACTGTATTTCTTCAGCATCTCTAGGCTTTGTGCCACTCATCTGCCCCTGGGAGACAGCCTTGCTGGTGCCATGGTTAAGAGTTACCTTGGGGCCAGTAGCTCCAGGGAGGCCATGCGCACCAGGCAGGCCTGACATGCCCGCCTCGCCCTGAGGAAGAGAAGAAAGGAAACAGAGAAAGCAGCAATGTGATGAGCAGCAGTGATGAGCAAAAAAAGGAGCACATGGGATGCCCAGATCAGAAAAGACATGAGAGGAATGTCCTACACAAAAGTGCCCATTACGCACCAAACTCCCCTCTGGGTCTCACCGGGGCAGGAGCACCATTCTGCATCAAGAAAGATGTTCAGTACACAAAAAGTATAACTTGAAGGAAATGGTCCCATAGGCCTGCATTTTATCAGAGCTAACATTTTTGCTCAGCTCTTTGCCTTCTTGTCCCTTTCCCTGATCCACACACCCAGGGAGGATTTTCTTCCCTACTTTCATCCATTTCTTCCACATTTCCAGAGGAAGGTTGCAACCTTGGGCTCATTCTCCTGAGAACCTTTGCTCAGTGAGTAAATGAGCCAGGCAACTTGTTTTGTGTGAGAAGAGCTCTAAGGAGAGGCTCTCACCATGAGGTCACTACAGGGACCCCCTCGCTGCCCCCCACACACTGAGCTTAGAACAGGATGGACTCTGAATGGAAAAACCGATGGGCGGTTCACTGCAAGAGGAGGCAATAAATTGTGTCTGTCTGCAGGAGTGGGCTGTGGTCCACAGGGACTATAATTTCCACTTCCTAACATAACAAAACCTTCTTGGTTTGTATAGCACTAATTAAAAAACTCTCGGATCTTGCCTTTTTGCCCACAGAGCGCCCATAAAGCAGTGCAGAGATAACATGGCATTCCTGCCTGCTGGGAGCATTTGCTTTCCCCTTCTCCCAGTGACATCCCTTTAGCAGTATCTCTTCATTCCCTCTTTTCCCTTTGATCTTCCTTCGCGCTTCCCCCGTCTCCCTGTCTCTCCATTACACCCTCCAGACTTGATTCAACACTGCTGTTAATTAGCTGCTGTTGCAGACCAGCAGGCAATGCCAGCTTCTGCCTTTTAACCAGGGAAAGGATGAACTTTCAAGTCATACACAGCCAGGATTAGGCCCTTTCTAGTAGTATAATAGCTAGATCTTAGTCTGGAAGTGAGTATGGGTAGGGAGAAATCTGTACTATTGCTGCCAGAGGGTTAAAGACATCTCTTGGTCCCAACTTTCCTTACACAGGTGAGCATTAGGGGATCCATGGACCCATGACAGCCTTTGGTCCAGTGAAAGGAGCTCAGCAAGGAGCTCCAGAGGAGCCCAGAGATTTGCAGCTGTCATCCCACAAGGCATCAGTGCAACTTAATTCATTTAGCAGTATTGGAACTGCCCCCTTACCTTTCTGCCAGGGTATCCTTGAATCCCAGGGTCTCCCTGCAAAAGGTAAAAAGACAAAATAAAATGAGGCTTGGCCTGAGAAGAATAAATCCCTGCCCCTTCCCGTGGGGCCATTCCACAAGGCCTTTGGCTCAAAATGACTCCACCGAGTCCCTGAGCCTTCAGACTCTGGGGTCCCTGTTACCTACAGGGACTGAACCTAGGAGGAGATGCACAAATGAGCACCAGCAGCCAGGTAACTCATGCTAGCTCCATGCCCCAGCTCTGTGGTTCCTATCTCCTCACCCTGGTGAAGTATCTCAAAGGAAAACAAACGGAGGTGGGCAGCAGCAGATGAAAAACAACCACCACTACCCCCCCACTCCCACATTTTGGCAAGTGAATAAATGGGAAGTTGCGGTAGAGTTAACAATAGCATTGCAAAATCGGTTCCTGAAGCGCTGGTAAATGCTTTGAGAGTGGAAGAAGCCAACAAAGCTGTGTGTGGCAAAGAATTTTGCAAGAGGAGTTGATGAGGCGTGCCTTACTCTGCTGAGATGCAACTCAGACACTTTGCCAGGACAAAACCAATGAGTCAGCACACAGGCTGGGCCCCCTGGCCAATACAGAGCTGGGCTAGAAATCTTTCTCAGCTATTTGATGTAACCTCCTTTCCCTATCTTTCACCTTCCACAATTTACACATCTCTCCATGCTGCGAGAGTCCACCTCTCTGTTTATCACTTTGCTCCTCAAATTGAGGCCAGACGTCTCACCTTTGCTCCAGGAGGCCCAGGTAAGCCCTGCAAATAAAATCAAAATAGACACTGGAGTTGACAAACGTAGACAGTGCTATGCAAAGTGATGGGGGCCCCTCTTCAGAGATGACTTGCATCGGTGAGTTCAAATATCCCTGATCTATTCTTCACATAAATACTATTCTAACCCACACTCCCAAATTTCATTTCATTCTTTCATGCCCATAATGCTCCATTCTCCCAGGCCTGGTTTCTCTGAATCTGAAGACTGAAAAGCTGCTTTTCCTCATGCACTGTGCCCTAGAATCTTTCCTGTCTCTCTGGCTTCACTTGGGAAACTTGTTCCCAGCCCACTGTGCAGCTCTGGAGTAAATCAGGGGTTGGCAGCTTTCTCTAGCTAGCTAAAGAGAGAGAATATATTAACAAACCACTTGTGTTTTCAAATGAGAAATAACCAAACAATTTACCTGATATGAACCATGAAGAACACCAGATATGCATGAGTGCAACTATAAATATGCAAAAGATCCATACAGGAGCTGCCTTCCTGATGTGTGCAGACCAGAGGAGAAAACTACCTTAGATAGGCTCTGATACCTTAATTACATCTGATTTTGCCTGACAATAGCAATTCAAATGTTTATTCATCACATCCACAGCTCCTTAGAGCTCAAAGAGAGATGAGGACACCTGAAACTATTACACGTAGAGAAGCGCTTTTGTCTCAGGGAACGACACTGGCTCCTTTTTCTAGAAGGCCTTGAAATCTCCCACAGATGGAAAACTCGTTCCACACTGCAGCCACTGCAGGGCCAGCACATCACACTTCTCCCCAAAGCTCCAAGAGCAGAGTTGTTTTCTGGCACCCACCTTTCCATCTCTGCCAGGCTTCCCAGGTTCTCCAGCTCTGCCCTGTTTTGCAAGAGACAAGTATGTTAGCACACTCTATCCCCTGCTGTTTAGCAATAGATTGTATTTTAAAATGTGCTTCACTTTTTGCCCTCTTTGACTGCTTGCCACACGCCTGAGAATGGGGCAGGAGCAGGAGTTCAAAGGGATGACAGGAATTTTATCAGTCAGATTTCTGCTGCAAGAAGAATAATTACACCCTGTGTATTACTTCTCCTCTGCAGACAGATGGAGGGAGAAGGAAACGGGGCTGGTGTGACCCACTCACATACATGAACAGCTATCAACAGTGCAGGGACTTCCTAGGAACTTCTTGCTCCCCACACATATCCACCTTCCCTGCCATTCCTCTGTCCATGGCTGTCTGGCTTCACAAGAGGCAGCAAAGACCAGAGGCAATTGTATGCATCCTAAGGAAAGAGGAAGCTGAAGGCTTTTTTGTAATTGGACTTACAGGTGGCCCAATTGGTCCGGGCTGTCCTGGGGTTCCCTCGGGTCCAGCTGGTCCAGCGGGCCCCGGCGGGCCAGGTGGCCCTGGAGGACCTTGGATTCCTGCTTGTCCTTGTTCACCCTGAAGTTTGTTAAAAGAAGGATTACCAGCAGGCAGAGCCAACTCAAGACACTGCCATCACAAGAGCCCAAGGCAGGTGAGCGTGGCCAAAGCAGAAGAGGCAGAAGAAAAGTCCCAGGTTAGTGGCTGGAGAGGCTTCCAAGAGTGAGGCAGAGCCCTGCCAAGGACAGCCTGGCTGCCCAGGAGCCAGTACCCCACGTTTTGCAAAGACAGCCAAGACCACCTTCTCAGTGCTTGCTTACAAGCAATCTACAGGTGGCCAAGCAGCCCAAACTCTTTGCACGTCAAACACCAACATCTCTTGGGCTTCTCAAGAAGCTCTCCAAAGCACTTGACAGTCACATGTGAAACAAAGCCTCTCGTGACCACGCTGGCACTTCCTGGCAAAGCCGCAGCATCTTACCTCAGCCTATTTTTTCCTCCTGCGCTTTATTTTTTGGGCAACGCTCCTGCTGTTTTTCCATGGACCAAAAGTAGAAATGCCACAAAACCGAAAGAAAATAACATGATCATCATGGCATTTCTGGAGCTCGCCCAAAGCAGGCCTATGTCGGCCAGGCAGAGCCTGTTTCTGTAAGATTTAACAAGCAAGTGCGTGCAAAGCCACCTGCCATTTTAAGCTCTCCAAGGAAAGCCATTCCAGCCGGTTCCTCCCCAGGCCCCTCAGTAGCCACTCAGCGGCTGTGGCTCATCCCTCAGCAATGCCATCTGGCCCAAAGGACCAGCACTCAGGACTAAGCGGCACTGCGGAGACAGTGGGTTGGAAGCACCACACTGAATACCAGACTGCTGATCTATAATTGATGCATCCAGCAAACTCCTACGGCCCCGTGGCACCCACGCTAAGCTGCTGTCTCATGAACTGCCCTGCCCAAATAAAATATCACAACATCCTGCTTCCATCTGAAAAACTCTTCTTCCACAGGAAGCTAGAAATCAAACATGGTGATTTTTCAACTGTAAATTAATGGGCATGTGGTTGAATCTCTGCTGCATTTATGCCCTCGATGCTGCTGCTGGGTAAAGGCAAGGCCGCCATCACGCAGCCTTGTGTGCACGGCAACACATAAAATCTGTCCCCTGCATGTGTTCCTAACCATGGTATTGTTTATCCTGGCTGCCCGTAGTAAAACAAGGCGATACAGGGACGTCTGCTTTATTTAGAATTCTACATGAAAGAAATAAGATGCAGATTTCGTCCTTTCTGCCATGAGCTCTATTTGGAAGAAAATTTCCAAGGTGTGGGCCAGGCCTATGGGAAGCTCAGTAACTGGGAACGCGTGCTGTCCCCTTAGCAGATGACAGGGAGATGGGGGGGAACAGGAGCCCTGCCTCTGCATGGAAGCACCGGTGGGGACTGACCAAGCCACATTCACATTGCCTTTGTTCAGCTGCATCTAGCACAGCTCAGTGTGTGTAAGCGTATGCCCATCCACACAGCTCCCTAACCACACCAAATGTTATTGCCACATCATTATGTTCTTATTAATGCATTCAGCATGAAAAGACCCCCACAGATCTAATTGGACTGTAAGTGGATACTGTAAGTTGGATATCAGGTGTCACAGTCATCAGATGTCATTCTGTATTTTTAGCTGCTGCCTGGAGCCATTTTTCAGCTCTTTAAAACAGCATTTGGTCAACCTCATTGTGCTTCAGCAATGCAATGCTCATGGAGCCTCCTAACCCAGCCCTTGCTCAGTCCAAGCCCATGCACAAAGGGCTCCTGCTGATGTGCTCAGAGGTAGCAGCAGGATTTTCTTCCCTCAAGCACTAGCATTTACTTTACAGCCTCGTGTTTTTTCTTAGTATTCAAATGTCGATCTCCTGGAATTGCTTGGTGCTGGCAGATCTGTAGTAGTGGTTTACACTTTTTCTCACTTAGAGAATGAATAAGGCAGCAGCAAAACATCACAGCAAAATTCTCTAGTGAAGCTGGCCTCTGGGGATGGAGGGAATTTGCAGCCCTGACTGACGACAAGACACGGGGCAGCTATTCAACTTTCCCACTTCATCCTGGATAGGAACTTCGGCTTTCAAAGCCTTCCCAAGAGGTCAGCCCTTGGCATGCCTCTTCAGACTGTTACTTTGAAGGCCAACCCATGCAAGCTGTGGGGCTTTACGTGCTGTGAACATTGAGCTGATAGGAACTGGGTTGAGAGCAGTTTCAAGTGATAACACTGGGATTTCACACAGCACTGGGAAGGCACCTCGTGGCACTGCAGTGCCCTGCTAGCATCTGGCAGTGCAGACAGGAGGGTGACAAAAACCAGCCACTTCATAAAGGGTGCCGAGCACACTCCAGTGTGGTAATTACAGAAGTTTATCCACACAGGAAAGTCCATCCCAACTGATGGAACGGGGGGATGCTTCAAGTGGGCTCATTAAAAGCCACATAAACTCTGACTATGGACACACTTCCTCACTATTCATACGTCCATAATTCATTTTATGAATTCATTACCAAAATAACTAAACTAAACATGAGTTATGGTCCTGAAAACCAAAATAAATGTGTTTACACCAAGATTTAATGCAATTTAATGAAATAATTGTAAGAGCTTATTTAAACATGCTTTCCCCAGCGATTCAGACCAGACTAGCCCTCAGAAGTGCTTGCTATTCATTCTTCTCGGTTAAACTTCACAGACATTCGCTACATTTCAGCAAGAGGTTTCCAACCTCTTCTGGAGATTGAATATGCAGGACCTGACTCTGTAAAATAGGAGACTGCTTGTCAACAGTCCTGACTGCAGTTTCATGGCCCATTTCTTTTAGATTTAAGAACTGGCTCTGCTGCGTTTCTTTTTAGCCACATTATCACATCAAAGATTTCCTCCACTTCAAACAACATCTCTCAGCTCTGCCCAAACCCCTTGGAAGCCCCTCTGTAGGGAAAGACAGACAGGTAGTAAGCTGATTAATCACAAGCATCAGAATAGGCTTAGAAACAGGCAACGAGGAGAGGTCTACCTGGAAAGTGCGTCTCTTTATGACCGGAGGTGGAGCCAGCCGCACTGAATTGAGGAGAGGCAACAGCTGGAGATCAAACCAGAAGGTCACAGGGCAAAGGAGGCCATTAGGGCATGGAGAGTCAGAGAGCAGCCGGGGGAGAAAACAGAGAAAAGGGGAACAGAGAGATTGCTATGAAAGTCAATGACTGCGTGCAGCCGGTGGTACAGGTACCTGCCGGCAGACCTCTGAGCTCCTGTGCACTGTGCACTGCTCACTGGGTATGTGCTGTCCACCAGTCCGAGCCAACCAGGGCCTGCAGCACAGAGCTGCTACAGCTTCTTCTGCTCACAGAGAGCTCACCCAGGGGATTTCTGACTCAGCTCCACTCCCAGACGATGTTTATTGCAAGACACCCCCATACTGGCTCTGCTCTTCAGTTCTCATCATCAGATCTGAGACAGCTATCAAAAAGCTCATCTTGTCCAAGGTTTTTCCAAGTGCACTTTCCCATTGTTTTCCCTCTTCCCTTACAAGAAAGTATCCGGGGGCCTTACCCTTCCCCGGGGTGCAGCTGGCAGTGTGGCTGGCTGGGGTCAGCAGAAGGGCTCAGAGCCAACACAAGGGTGCTAGCGTGGTTCATTTGGCAACATGAACACTGCCAAGGGAGAAGACAAGAACTTGGAATCTCTGAGCCCTGAGCAAGGTACTGCCTTAGTAGCCTGCACTTTGATTTTCCTCACTTAGCAGTAACAGCAGCCTCCAACTGCTTATAGCCAGGAATGCTGCCCCAGTGCACAAAGCTGACCCGGACACACAGCAATCAAATGCACTAAAGCTCAGGAGCATTTGTTCATCCTCCTGCAGTATCCAGTTTCCACTTGCATACACACTGCTGTCAGCCTGGCAGTCACCACGGCAGCTCTAGGCCCAGGAATGCTCCCCTGGCCTGATCCGCTTTCCTGTTCCTATCAGTTTTCCATTGAAGCTGTTCTCAATTTACACAGGGAGAAGAGAAAGGAGCATTCTGTGCTCAAGTCAAAAAGCCTGTGCCCCTGTGCACAGCCATTCCCCACGTGAGCTGTGCTTGGATCCCAGAGGTGTGCCTGCAGGTCTTCCACCACAGTGACCGCGCACCCCAGCAGTGCTGTTCAGTCCCTTTAAATGCCACTCCTTGCTCTGGCAGCAAAAGCCAGGACAGTCTTGTTGCAAAGGGAAATGGCCATCCAATATTGTAGCATCACCACCCCCTGCTCAGGTGGCCACATTCAAATACACTGATTCTGAAATATTACACAGCTTACAGGGAAGCAGAGGGAGGATGGTGGAAAAGATGAAGGGGAAAATGGAGGGAAGCAGTATGAGCCCTTCCAAAAACAGACAAGATCTAACAATGGACTTGGGTGCAAGTAGGATCATTTAGAGAAGGAGCCTGGCACCTCCTGCAGCCAGCCCTGCCCCTCTGGACCCCAGAAAGAAGAGCGCGCAATATTGGATGCCTTGTGCCTTTGCATCAGAACCATTCCATCGGACTGTTACCCACAAACCTTCAGCGTAAGGATCTGGTTAGAGCGCAGGGCTGCAAGGGTGGTACTTAGGTACTCCTACGGGACAGGGAAGACACACAACAGGGGGTCAGTGAAACACATGCTGTTTTTGAGAGCAGACAGAGTGTAGTTGCTCCTCTCTTCCCAGTGCTAAGCCCTGGGTGGCATTCTGGGACAGCCTCATGCCTGAGATCATCTCTTGCAGAGCCACAGGCCAAACAGAAGGAAAAATAGGAAACTACAACATGAGCCAAGGCATACATCCTAACCTTATATTTCCTTCCTAAGAAAACAAAGACCTAACAAAACTGAAACATCTCTGGCTTTTCAGGATGTTGGTTCTCACCTCCTTGACCGAAAAAAAAATAACAACCAACAAAAAATTTGACAAAAGTATTCATCAACCAGTAAAACAAGAAATTGCAATTCAATCAAATGTGGGGCACATATACAGCAAGGCTCTTTCCCACTCTGATTTTGGGAGGAAGAGAAGGAACTGCAACTCTTTGGGCTGCCTTGCACCACTAGCCCCAGCTTTGCAGCCTATGACCTGACACTGCAGGACAGCCCACCCTAGAGCTGATCTAGTGGCAACCATTCTTCCCACAAGCACATCAGTGAGACCAGCGCTACCCCAGGAGAGCCAAGGAGGCATCACCAAGGCTTTGCTGGGACGTGAGACTTTGCACCAACCTCTTCCCTGTTGTCCCAGCCCTGTGACATTACCCCCAGGATGCCTACAGCCCAGCCCACCAAACCGGTGCGCCCTAGCCCCAGGTTGCTCCCAGTGATGCACAACTTGCACCTTTGCTTTGACGTGTTTCTGTCAGTCCCATGCCTGCTTTTCACCTTGAGCTCTGAGGACAGGCAGGAGCCAAAGACTGTAATAAGAATCCAGGACACCGCTTGGGCAAACATTGTTCTTAGCTTCTTTTTAGCATAACGATCTAGTGAGCAGGCTCACCTAAATAAACACAGCTGACCTGCTATTATTGTACCCAAGCTGGCACTTGCCCACAGCTCCCATCTCTCTTGCTGCCAGCTGAGATCGTGCTCCTGCCTCCGCTACGCAGAGCATCCAGGGCCTTGCTCCCCTGGGACAGGCACCAGAGCCCAGCTAATTGTCCAGAGGCTCATCAAAAATAAACAGAAAGCCCTTAAGCCTGTCTCCCCGTACACCCAGATTACAAATTCCAGCCACTTCATATGATGTTGTTCCAATGCATTTCCAGTGGATTTTCAGCACTCCAGTTGTTTTTAGAGCTGGTTAAATTCTGCCTCTGTAATCCCCTCAAACTCCATGATGTACCCTCTCCTCTCTTGGCTGCAGTACTTGCTGGCCATGCCAGGACACAGAGGCAAGGGGGCAACAGCCTGGCTTTCGTTAAAAGGCTGCTGCCACCAGTCCTCCCATGGCAGACTGTGGAAGTGGGACTGAGCCGGTGCTCTCTGCTCCTACAGAAACTTCAGGTTTCACTGAGTTTTGGGGTGAAGACCCTACCTTCCCCCCACCACGCTGCAGCACAGAGGCTCTGCAGAAAGAAGAAATGACAGCATTTAGCTTCGGGTCAGCCTCAGCGGCAGGAAGAGAGCAGAGAGCCAAGATCCCTCCTGGAAGTCCTTATCTACAGCTTTTCTGTGAAACACATCAATCAGCTGAGCGCTGCTCTCAGGCCCGGGTGACACATCTTGTTCATGAAACGATCTATATTTCCAACAAAAAGCCATTCAAACGAAAGGGGGATTAACATTCAGGAAGGCACAGGACAGACGATAATAACGCTAATGACTTACCCTGTGGGAGTACTCTGTGCACTGACCCTGTGTAAGAAGGGGATTAAAAGAAAAGAGTTTAAACCACGAACAGAGAGAACCAAAATAGACATTGGAGGGCAGATCCACAAGGTGTAAATCACGATGGCTCTATTGAACTCAGTGAGACTATGCCAATTTGCACTCGATAAGCAGCCTACCTCCCACCCACTGACCCTGCAGCCCTTTGCTTTTCCTGTATCTCTCAGTCACTCAAAGTCAAACCGAGCAGCACTAGCCCAGCCCACTTCTCTGCTCATTTTTTTACATGCAATTTTCAGCATATTGCCCATTAAAATTACCTTTTCTCCTTTTTGTCCTGGGGGTCCCTGCAAAAGAGATGAGGTTTTTAAAGGCTCTTGGTAAAGGAGAGGTTCTGTACATGCAAGAGCAAAGGGATGGGGGAGATACAAACACAAAATATAGGGTACTTACGGGCTGTCCCCTGGGACCTGTGGCGCCCTTTAAAGAAACACATAGTCATGAATACAAGATGGATTTACAGCGACAAATGCTTTCAGTGTAGGGAGTAGGTGGAACCTCAGTTTTTACAAACTTTTGTGGAGAACAGTTTCCAAGAGAGCTCTGGGTTCCCTTTGTTACTCGGGAGGAGTGAAAATGCACAGATGTTCTGGCTGCACCATGGGGGGGATTTATTAAAAGGAGGGGGGAAAAAACATCAGGAAAACACACCCTCATTGTTGCCTGGACCTCAGCTGTCAGCATGTCTCCTTGGCAGATGCAGTGAGATCGAACAAGCAGCAGCCAGGACTGAAGCCTGAGCTAGGGTTGTGCAACTGAGGGATGGCAGCTCACCCTCTTCCAGGGAGCAGGGATGGGGATCTTCAACATGTGCTTGCCAGAGGGCTACACTGACTCTTGGGCTCCAGAAACAGAATTTGCAGAAGAAAACATCCAGCAGTTCACTGAGCAAAGCTGACTACAGAGCTGCTACTTTGGTGTGCTCATGTTTGGGGATTTCATCATCCAAGAAGTTGAGAGAAACAAGATCACACTTGGGTTCCCATGAAGAATAACCCAAGTTTATCATTCCCAAATGAAAGCATTTTGGTATGATGCACAAATGTAACAGACCTTCAAGAGGGGAAAGAAAAGCATTCAAACAAATAATACACTTTTTTTTTGTTAGGTAAGTTGAAAGCCACCAGATGGGTTTTCAAAAACTTTCCATCAACTTTTACTTCTGCTATGAGGCCAACCACAAAAAATGTCAGCTCCCAGAGTATATTTAAAGAACATAATTGCTAACTGTGAGGAAAACATATCCCATGCATAACTACAGAGTTGCTGTTGTGACATGATGAATCTGATAGCCATAATGTAAAGATTACAGGCATGCATCTCCACACTGCAATGAAGTTACAGAATTAGGTACGTAGCTAGGCCATTAGTTGAAGCTAGGACCACTAGTCTGCCTACAAGCTTATTTCCAGCTGAGAGGCAATGCCATTTCAAACCAATCCATCAACCACTAGCATATATAATTTTTGTTGTTGTTATTACCATCTCTCCCTTCTGTCCGGGATAACCCTGCAAAAGAAAGAAAACATCCCTCAGCTTCAGCCACTGCAACCTCTAACAGATATTTGCTTTACCTGCTTACCCTTTGCCTTGAGAGGTACTCACAGCCACTATTATTTCTCAAGAGAGATACAACGCCACACATGTGCAGCTTTGCTCATATAACTAACACTACATTGTTCCCCAACACCCAAAACACTGAGGTTTTCCCTGCAGCAGGTTGGCTGCTGCCCTTGTGAGGTACTGGTTCAGAGATTTGCCTGGAAAGGAAGCAGCCACGCTCGCTCTCCCTAATCTCTTACCACCTGCAACTCCCCAAAGGCATTTGTGGCATCCACCTGCCTACCAACCTTCTGATTTTCATTTAATCCGTGCATGCGCATGACACTGCAAAATAATCCTCTTAAAAACATACTCTGTAGCATGCAGGCTGGTAGGAGAGTGGGACCTGGCAGGTGGCAGGGCACAAAGCCTTCAGAGAGACTGTTTGCTTACCGGTTTGCCATCCAAGCCAATAGGACCCTGAAAGAAAACAAAAACAACAAAAAAACAAAAGGGGGAGAAAAAATGAGAAATGCTTTCACCTGAGCATCTGTCCACCTGCCCCAGCAAAAACTATGTGCCACAAAACTGCAGAGATGGGTACCACCCAAGCTTCCTGATTGCTTCTGCTGGGACCTTCTCACTGTCAGCCCATTTCAGCAGCAAAGCAGGAGAGATTATCCATTGGCAATTTGCAGGAAAAAAAAAACCCTCAGCATTTCAAATTTTGCAGTATCTCATCAATTAATTGAAAATCAGCACAGTTATCTGGAGATTCGGATTTCAAAAGACCATTGGGAAAAGAGGAATTTTTGTGAACGACAGTATAATAGAAGTGTCCCAGGGAAAAAGTGACATAGAGCTCAGCAGCATTTTGAAGGCACGATATGATGAAAAACAGGCCCCATGGAGCGCCATCCCACTCGACACTTTCTCATGAGCTGGGCTGATTTGTTCTCTGCTGCTCCAAAAGCCAAAGACCACAAGGGCCAGGAGAGATCTGCTTCTCTTCAGCCTCAGAGCAGATCACAGCCCCCCTTCTCACAAAGGGCAGAGCTGCGGAGTCAGATTGGCTCAGAGGTGGCCAATTCCTCCTGTTTTCCAGGCAAGAGCCTCCTCTGAAGACCTGTTCTGGCACATGGTGTGTCCTGGAGCAGCAGCTTCAGCTGCTCGGCAGGAGCCAGGGCGCCAGGGCTGTTTGTGTTTGCCTTAGGTTTCCTAGCTGTCCAGGAGAAGTGCATAAGAATAAATAGCAACCGTTTGAGTTTTCCAGCAGCCTTGATGCTCCACAGAGCATTGTCAGCAACTGTAAAGCTGAAATGAAATGTGCTTTGTCCTCTTTTAGGCTTGTATCTCATTCCCTTACCCATCTGTAACTTCACATTGGAGAAAAATCCCCCCTACATTCTTATGCTTTTTTCCCTTTCGCTCTGGCATGACTGACCATGGTGTTCAACCCAGTTCCCACCTGTATTCCATCACACAGAGCCCTGTTTGGATTACAGATGCTCATTGCTACTACAGAATCACCTAAAAGTTCAACTAAGGTTGGAATTTCACGTACCCAGACTATTTTCTTTGCTTGGGGAGTATTTTCTCAGAATGGTTCTCTTTTACTAAACAGATTGGGCTTCAACTATGTTATTTTAACACTCATGTTTTTCTTTTTTTTTTTTTTAATTAATTTCCTTTTGGCATACTATGGTTAGTTTGGTGTGTTTTTTTCCCCCCCCCCAAAAAAAAAAAAAAATAAAAAAAAAAAAAAAGAAAAACAAAAGAAGAAAGCAAATGAAGAAATAATTACTTTTTCCAGGAGTATCAGATCAGATCCTTGGCATCAGACAGATGATAAGGTACAGCAAGCACTAATGACACTGCTTAGTAATACCACACACACATACCTCATCAATCTAGCAGTTACACTTACCGGGAATCCAGGAAAACCTCTTGTTCCAGGCTGTCCCTGGAAAAGATGAAACAGAGACAGCAGTTTAGAGGAACTATGGACCCTAAGTTCTGTCTATGAAATCTTTACTCTAGCCTGTGCCCATTTATCCTACGGCTCTCCAAGGAGTTACCCAAGACCTCCAAGGAGAATGCGACTGGGGAAGAAGGGGAAATCTCACATTCCCACTCCAATTTATACAGGGCCAGGAAAATGCTGGAGCAGGTCCAGTTTGGACTGCAAGCAGTTTCCTTGAAGTTTCTCCATTAATTAAATGGGTGTCCCTAGCCCATACATGAGCCATTTGGAGTATGTTCCAGAGGCTGAGCTCATTTTATGGCAATTCTTGCTGCCATAAACCGGAGGCGTTTAATGCAGGATGCTGCTCTGCGCAAGACAAACCTTGCAGGTCACTAGTGTCTAAATACAGCCATTCCTCGTCTCCTCCCTCCCCTGTGTCTTGTCCCAGTGCATTCATTTTCCTCACAAATAATTCTGGCCAAGGTATGATTTTTCTCTTTGCCTGCTTTTTCCCATCTAAGAGCTAAGAAAAAAAAGGAGTGGTGTTATAAGGAATGTGAGCATCAAGTCCTTTACCCTTGCCTTTTCCTGGTTAGCCAGGGCTGGCTACCACTTTGAGAATAGTTATAGTAAACACACTGACTTGCAATATATTTAATAGTTTCTTCGTTACTCGCTTGAACACACTGGGGTGGGTGAGAGGAGGGGGCAGAAAGAAAGAAGAAAAAGAAAAAATGGTTCTTCGCATAATTCTTCTGTGAAATCCCAAGACACAGATACCCTAGGTCTTTGGGCATCTAGTAAAGATACCAGTTTACTTGAGGATCATTATTGTGTGTTCTGTCTCCTAGGAAAGACCTGGATATAAGAAAGAGTTTGCTTTTTCACCTTAACCAGAGCAATCCAGAGGAAAGGAAAGAACGGTACAGGTTGGCCCGGCTTCAAGGCGCTGATGAGGTTTGCCATAGCAAAGCAATGCAGTCCCCTTGTGAGAGAGCTCATAGCCTCATCACCAGGAGAAGTAAGATCTTCAGATTGCATCTCTTCCAGCCTCCCTGCCCCTGCAGAGAGGCTCAGTGGGGATTCAGTCCTGCTGAGGATGGGGATAAATAACCTCTTTGCACAACTTGAGGGCTGCCCCTACCATAGAGTGCCTGGACTTGCACCAAACAGTTGTTTTTATACACAGTGCTAGCAGGACCTGATTACGTTTGCATTGTTTTCTTAGTTTCACTAAGTTGAACTTGGTCAACTTTGCTTTGCATTGCAAGATATATATAAAACCACCTGGTCCCATTGGCCAGTGACCAGGAGGGAAGATTGGCTATAAATTAAAGAATTTGTCCACCACTGCTTTCTGAAAAGGCGAAAATCAAGTAGAGCCTAGCCACAATTCATTAATTCTGGCTCCCTGCTGGAAGTCTCCCCAGACAAGAAGTGCTAAAAAAAGAATTAAGGAGAAAATCTGGAAATGGTGCAATTTGGCTTCCTCTCTAGGCTGCAGACTGCTGCCTCTTTCTCCTTGGAGGACGGCATAGTGATTTGCACGGTATCAGGCCAAAACAACAGTTCACAGTGAGTGATTCCAAGAGTCTGTTTTTGTTGGGTAGCTGTTTTTCCTTGCCTTCTTTTTAAGATGTTGATCCTATGAAGTATGTAATCCCGGGAGCTGCCAAATCATGGAGATCATCTGTTTCTGCCACTATCGGCATACTGTCCCTCTCTGGCCAGGAGTTAAGCAGCTCTGAGCAAAAGCTTTAACCTTCAAATGAAAATCTGGAAACTATTTCTCATCCCACATCTTCCCAAGTGGCCCCTTGGCTGGGGTTCCTGTGTTTGTCTTCGGTGCTCAGCCATCCTTCTGACCTACCACCAGCTCCCCTGGAAATGGGATCATCTTCACAAGGGCTATGGGGGAGAAGCGGGGAGCTGGGGTAGGCAAAAACTCCTCTTAAAAATCACTTGCCATCTAAGTTTTCTGGTTTTGGGGTTTTTTTGGTTTTTTTTTTGAGGTTCAACATGTTCTGTGCTTTCCCAAATGGCAGCAAAGGCAATGAGGCTGCACTGAAAGAGACATTAAGTCTGTTTTGCAGACTAGGCACATGTTCTTCAGGGAAAGAGCAGTGCCCAGCTACATTTGCAGGTCCTACATCAATGAGGACCACCAGGTTTTCTCTCCTGTTGCTGTTTCATACTAGGCTGAGAGCTACAGCTTGAGAGAAACAGAAGAAACATGCATCCCTTACCCTCCAAAAACTGCATGCGGCACTTGGGTGGCTTTTCTCAGAGATTAGCATGGAGGAACCCATCAGCCCACCCTCCTCACCTGGCCAAGTGACCAGGGCTGATCTGTTGTGTAACAAATGATTAAGGAAATTCTTTTGCTTCAGTTCTGTCGCTTCTCAAACTGCAGTGTGCCACGCAGGTGGGCCTGGGAGCCCACAAAGCTGTTACTTATTAGAAACTCTTCTTTTGGAAAGCTAATTGGAAAGCCAGATGTAGCCAAGCATTCGTGCTGCCTAGGTCTCTCTCACTTGACCTCTGCTGTGAAACAAAAGTCGCCAGCAGCCCCATCCTCTTGGCAGGTCAAGGACAGTGCTCTTCACAGGTTAATCAAAATCGGAAGTGCGCAGAGGGAGGGAGAGAATTAAGTCCCTGGGTCTTTTCTCATGGAAATCTCCAGAGAAGGCTGCACAGGGATGGAGTGAGGAGGACTGGCTGCATCTGCACAAAAGCAGAGGCTTGATGGCTGAAGTGCAGAGCAAGAAACGTCCAGTGTTTAGGGCACTTAAGTGCTCCAGCCCTTAATACTGTGCCAGCCTGTTTTTTCTGACCCTACACTTGCAAGAAGTTTTGTCTGGCTGACTTCTTGCTTTTGCTGGAGTGGGGTGCAAAATCCTCCCTTGCCTTTCCTCTGCTCCCCAGTCAGCAAAGGGGTTTTCAAGATTTCAGTATCTACACTGGCAAAGAGTTTCCAAGGCTTTGGGCATTGACAGGGACCTCTGGACAACTCTGATCTATCCATCTTTGTGAGTTCTCTAGTCACCAGCTTAGCTCTGATCCTGCTCTTCTGCAAAATTAGGGCGGCTTGTCCTTCGCTAACGAAACCAAAGGCTGAAATCAGCCAGGCTAACAGCACGTTCTCCTCGAAAACAGGAGTGGTCCTGTTGCAAGAAGGAAATATGGTTTTTTCCTTTCAAATACAGGACTATAGTTTCTTTGTAAGACGAGGCTTCTTTGTCTGTTCTGAAGGATGAGCTGTAATTTCATTATACATAGTATATAATAGCGGTATAAAACCAAGCCTGGCTCAACATGGGAACTAAATTATGCAGGGGTTTTGCTCTCTTCAGCTGATGCTGTCTTGCTGCCCCTCCTAAATGTTTGTTTCCCTGTAACTTGCCCACATCCCGAATCAGTCAAAAATAGAGAGTAAAGTCACTCACGGGTGGACCACGGGGCCCAATGATAGACATGCCTGCTTCTCCTGGAGCGCCCTGCAGAGAGACAGGGAAAGGAAAAGGGGTGAGAAAAGGTGAAAATACAATGAAAATGACATTTCCATCAAGACTGAGATTTAATGAGGCTGCTCAAGGTATAAGAATGTCAGGATTCATGTGGCAGCTGCCATTCTGGCCTCCCCCAGCTCACTCTGGGAGGAGAAATGTCATTTGGGACTATCTATACACAACAAAAATATGTGAAGAAGCTGTGCAGCAAGTAAAATTATAAATGTGTAAAACACTTGTTGGCAAAACACAGGCTCTGCCCCCTTGCAAATGTGAAAGACTGCCTGAAACCCCTGTTGCTGCCAGAATATGTCTGGTCAGACTTCAGAGAATACTAATGTTTTTCCGTAATTGCTAATGCTCACCCTCAGTCCCTGGTCCCACCACACCCACAGTTTGGAACTTTGTAAGCACTTTCCACATTCCTCCCCAGACACAGCTACATTTTAGTGACTGCTTTCTGCCCATCCTGTCTATTCTTTGTAAAGCAAAGAATACGTTGCATATGTTGTATATTGTTTTCTGCAAACAGGCAAAACTTGTGGGGAAAAATTACCTAAGAAAACCCCACAGATTCTGAATACTCTCTGGTGATCATTTCTAAGAACATCCTTTGTAGGCAGTATGGAAACACTGGCTAGAGAGCTCCATACCAAAGACCATGTTCTCTCTTACGGACTAAGATTGCATGAACTGGCCATGTTTTTTGACTGCAAAGCTAGCTATTCTATGAATAGGTCAATTGAGACTTAATGACCGGGCAGGAATGCAAAAGTTTAGGTCTAAATTAAATAACTTGATGTTGAAGCAGCATCACATGCTGCACAGTATAAAGTGTGTGTTCAGAGCGGAGAAGGGGGAATACAGAAAATAAAAGGCTTGCTCAACTGTGGTTTTTTGGAAGAAACTGGGTCTGCCATGGAGACAAGCAGTATAACTAATGATGATTCAGTTTGGGCTAGATCCTAAGACAAACATCAATTCTGAGACCATTCTAGTACCTGAAAACCAATACAGAAATACTTGAGATCTTGCCTCTCCTACATCAAGCTGCACCGCAAGAAGTGCTGGAGACTTTGGTGTCGATTTCCAGCCCAGTTAGGGCTCAGTGCAGAGGTCCCAGCAGCAATAATCCTCCACACCACATATGCCCTGTAGATCCCAATGCAAGGGCTGGATCAGTAGAGGCACAGGCTGCCTTCATTCTTGCAGCAGGCGCTGAGAGCCCACCCAGAGCCAGGACCAGCCAGGTCTATGGGCTCTATCTGCTTGACTGACAATCTCAAAGCTGCTGGTGAAAGTGCAGCACAATTTGCCCAAGGCTTTTTCACTTTCAAAGCGTGAACTGCGCTAAGTGGACATGGAAACAAGTCCTTAAGTCAGTAACAGGCAGCTGATAAGAGACCCACAATTAACAGTTGCCAGAACAGCAGCTGAGCTGTCTCCTTCCCACAGTTCAAGATAACCTGCATATCCAGGAAGCCTCTCACACATTCTGCACCAGAGACAAAAGAAAAAGGGATACGGCGAGCTCCGGGAAAATGGGAGGCATGGGCAGCTGGTCAGCTGCTTCCTGACTGCACTGGGGAAGAGCCTCGTTTGTGTGCATATCAGCTCAGATGGGATGAGGATGAAAACAGCAAATCCCTTGCTGGAAAAGCAAACAGGCACTCTTCAGCTCCTAGCCACCCACGATGTGCAACGGGCAGGAAACACTGTGTCTTTAGAAAGCACTGTGTATCCCTGAGAGGCTGCTCCAGAAGTGCCCAGGGCAGGGCAGCCGTTGGATGGAGCATCCCATAAACCATGCAGCCTGCAAGCAACAGAACTCTCTGCAAAACCAAGCTAGGACTGCCAAGGACCTCACAGAGGGCTTTAGGGAAGTACGGGCAATTAAGAGTGAAATCTTGGTCTGTTAGATAATATTTATAGGCTCCAATGAACAAGCAGAAGCCTGAAAGCAAGGAGAGAGATTCTCCATCCTAACTCACTCTTCCTTGCTCATTTTTCTATCTTCCATGAAAAGGAGCAAATGGCTCTGGTATGGTGATGCCCCACACACACGATTCCCCTACTAGGTGAATATTCATCTCTTTCCTAGTTTCTATAACTCGCTGCTTCTGGCTGCAGATTCCCAGTTATTCACACACCTCAAATGCACATCATCACTATTCTTGTGGATGCCAAGTCCCACCATGTCAGAAACAGGAGCACGCCATCCCATTTTCCTTGCTGTGGCTCACAGCAGAAATTGTGCTGACCCAAGAGGCAGAGAGGAACTGCAAGGGTGATTAGGGCAAGCGGCGCTGCCAGCATAGAAGAAACTCAGTGGTTAACACCCAGGAAGCCTCGAGGGGAGCCTTGCATGTGCCTGCCAACTCATACACTGTTAGTAAATTGTCATAAACAAGAAACACAGCTTTTTTGGAGGCTGAGTGGCCTGGGAGGAATTTGGGAGATAAACTTACCCTGCTGGGGGAGAGCAGGCACCCCAGGGTGTGGAAACCCAAAGTCGGCTGCAGTGGCCAGGGCTGCAGCTAAGGTGTTTAGGCTGGCCCTTCAGGAGGGCAGCCAGAGATACTAAAGGCTGCAAGGAGCCAACTCACCTTCTCTCCAGGTTGCCCTTTTAGTCCCTGGGTCAGTGGTACCCATCGCAGCCACATGCAAGAGGGTGCAGGGGAGAGAGAAAGAGAAAGAGACACAAACACAGGCGTCAGCGGTAAGGGCACACTCCCCTGCCCCAAAACCCGGGCTGCAGGGTTGGAATGAGAGGGGCAGCCACAGTCCCCACCCCAGCCCTCGTTCCCATCCTTATCTCAGGTTGCCTGAGTGGAAAGCAGTCCTAGAATGCAGTGCTCAGCCAGGCAGGGCATGGCCCCCTTGTTTGGGCAGGGTTATTTGGAAAGGGCAGCAGTAGGCAGTGGGCAGGGGAGCACGTTAGCAAGCCCGTGGTTAGCAGAATGGAAGGTAACATCCTTCACATGTATGCGGTTTACAGGGCTGACTACCCCATTGCAACCTCCTCAGGTGTGGGTCTTGGAGAGGGTGGCTCTCCTCATGCTCACACCACCCCAGATTCAGCCTGGAAATACTCTGACATCTCAGGGTTCAAAGAGGAGAGGGAGGACAAGGAACACGCTAGAGGTCTCGACTTACCGGCCGTCCAGGAATCCCCATTGCGCCTTTGTCTCCCTGGCAATGAAGACAAAACCAGAGGCAATTGGAAACCGGCCAAAAGCAAGGTCATAAAACTGCACAAATGAGCTGTGCCACAGATGCAGCTAAGTGCTGCAATGCAAGCATCCAGGAATTTTGAGAGAGGAAGAGAGCAAGTTATAGAGAAACTATGTCTGTGGGGACCCCAACCTGCCTTTAAGAATCTGTGTAAGTCACCAGTTTGCCTGAGTGCAAGGCAAGCCAGATCATCTCACGACAGAAATAACATAATTATTTAGGCAGAAAAAGGAAGGCAAGAGATTTTTTCATGCTAACCAAGTCTAATTCCAATTTCCTCCACTTCACAAAATCCAGGTCTTGGGAACCAGCTTCATGCAGTAGTCAAGTGTCACATTTTTTCTCTTTCTTCACTCAAGTAATGTCTAGATTAAGCTATTTATTTATAGAGTTATCATGCTTGGACTTAAAAGTATGCTCCTGTCCAGAAGCAAGAAAAAAAAAATGTGGGAAAACAAGCTGACACAGGAAAAAGTATGTCTGGAAGAAGACATATGAATGGCTGTGTTCAGTGTCCTCTACCCCTTTGAGATACTACTCAGTGAATTGTCAGGGTGTGAACAATCCTACAGCAGTTTAGGGAATGACTTTGGGTCAGGTGACACTGAACAGAGCCTTATAAACATATGAACACATATACCACAAGACCAGTGGCAATTTTCCTCAGCCACTTACCCATAAGGCAGATTTCTACCTCATACATTTTTTAAAAAGTGAATATCAGCCCTTTCTGCATTCCTGGTTGCCAAAACTCAGCTCTGGGCAGATATGGAAGACAGTCACAAAGATCCTTTCAGTAATCAGCTGCTATGGCTTCAATAAGCATGTAATTTTTGTTCTGTTTTGTAAAAATGACACAACAATAACCTTCCAGTTCCATTTCCAGCAATGTCTGTGATTTCCTTGTGTTCTTTTTCACCCAGCTGCTTCCCTAGACACAAACCTAGATTTTTAGTTTCAGCATCTGGAGACACTGAACCCACTGGTGTCACTTCTTTGTGCCTTGTCCACTTCCAATGTGTTTGAACATAGCCTAAAATCTTTAGAAGAGAAATGCACTTCACTTTTTTCCTGGGTATATGCAGAGGTTTCTTTGTGCATCATAAAAGAACCACCACCAGGAAAGCAAGCTGTTGTGATCCCAAAATCTGTGCTCCTTCCTTACTCACAACCATCCCAGATGCAGATACGGTTACCATGGACTTTCACATTTGCGGAATTTCACATAGGGCTTGTAAATCCTGTTGCAATTACCAAGCCCATCAGTGAGAAAATAGCACACTGCACCACTTCAAGGTAAAAAAGGCTTCTTCAGAAGCAGTGTATCCCAAATGTAGGAGGGTTCATAAGGACTACATTGCCATTTTGGTACCACAAAGCTCTTGTTGTTCCTATGCTGTTAGGAGCCATGACCTGTTGGCAATATGCTATTTTTCCACATTAGGAATCTATGTGAGATTGCTACCTACTCACAGCTTAAAAAATCTTGGCGGTCTATGGATGAATGTATTGCAAGACAGAAAGAGAGAACAAAAGAAGAAAGAATGAAGTACTTACCGGAAGTCCTGGTCTTCCCGTAGTGCCCTGAAACACAATACATGCACACAAAAATAAAAAATAAAAAAAAAAAATCAAAGTTAGCTTGACAATCCAAAGGGGATGCTTGATATAAAGAAATCATATGTAAGGATTTAGGAAACAGAATAGTTAAAAATCTCTCCACAGCTTGTTGACCATGAGCTCTGATTGCTTTGGTTTCCTAATCACCTGTTCGTAAAATGTTCTCTCCTTTCAGCGTGGCTCTACCCACAGCTCGCTGCCTGCGTAGGCTCTGAAGGTATCTGCAAGTCCATGGAGAACAAGCTAATTACAGGGCTCTGACTTTCTTCCTCAGTTTCCATCTGCTAAATATTAATTTTTCATGTATGGAATTGCTGCAGTTGCCACAGAAATGTTGCATGTTCAGAAATGGGAGGGAAAACATCCACGAGAGGATCTTTTCCTTCGGATGTGGTCCAGACAGCAAAAGAGTCCGGGAACCTCAGTACTATTGCACGATTTCATCATTTCCTTCCTTCCTTCACCCATTTCAGTCCCAATCTCACCAAATTTCTTGCATGACTGCGGGTTGCCCTTGCCTTCACCAAAGCCTTGGCTGACATCAAGGACAACAACGGGAGCATCTGTTGGGCAAGAGGAGAGTGTAAAGGCTCCTTTTGCTCCTGGGGCTGTTGTTCATCCTTTCCTCAGCTTTTCCCCTAATTGACCAAGACTACAAGCTGGGCTCAGTGCATTTCTAAAGTGGATTTCTGTCCATTCCCATGCTCAGCCAACATCAGCACCAGGGGCTCAGCCCTACCACCACACACATTGCCTTTTGCAAGCTGGGAAAGAAATCCAGGAGAGAGCTGTGAGGTCATCAGTACTTCAGGGTCGCTATCTAGACTGACATACATGTCTGACAGACAGCCAGGCAGGAGCCCCTGTCTGTTGCTCCTAAGCATGAGTTTTCATCAGATTTTAATAATAAGAAATAAGTGGGAACAAATATTTCCCATGGTAACATAGAGGACTCTGCTCATCTCTTTAGCCATGAGCTTCTGCTCACAGCAGTTGAACCAGTCTCGCTTGCCAGCCTCTTGGAAACCCAGAGCTTCTGAGTGAGACAAAGGTGCTGTTAGCTCAGGACAAATTCCACTTTGGCTAACGATGCTCGGTCTGCCTGACTTCCTCTTGTTATTTCCATTGGCTGCCACACTCCTCACGGCCCGTCCTAGAAGTCTGCATGTGGAGACAGGTTCAGGGGTCGCAGGAAGCCAGGATACAGTAGCATATATTGTCAGCACTTCTCTGGTGGTCCCACGCATTTCTGCCAGACTTCAATCTTTCATTATGATATTAAATTTCTAGCCCTTTTTGTTGCAAAGAAAGCCTGGGCTGTGCGTCCTCCTCGCCCTGCAAAAGCACAGACTGCTCTCCAGGAGATGTCTGCACTGACCTATTGCTTTCTTTCCTGTTTCTAACGGCAATAATATAAATGCCAACATCACTACTAGTTTTGTGCCACATCCTTTTAGCATCAGTATGCGCCTGCCTGGGGCAGCTCCCTCCAGAGTCGTGATCTCTTCCCTGTAACCCAAATCTAATGCTGAAATACATTCACTTCAGTGGCCAGCCCTGAAAGTCCCTGGGATAAATGACTGCTGAAGGTTTGCGTGGATCAGGGCTTCCAGCTGTAAAATACTTTCAGACCTTCTGGCGTGGAAGGTGCAACTTTTTGGAAGATTGCTGCCATTAAAAGGGACCGTGCTCATATATCTGTGGGAATCCAGTCCACAGCATTTTCGACTTGATGAAAGGGGAAAATAGGTTGTGCAGCAACTACTTCTCCTCGGAACGTCATCTGCAAACTGTTTAAGACATTTTTGCAAGAACAGACAAAAGATGACTACCGTATGTTTAACTTCTCATATTCCTTCATACAAACCAAGTATAGTTACTCCATTGTACATGAATATAAGCCATTTCCTCTGGAAGGACTGTGCTAGAGACAATATAACGTTTCTTTATAATCCTGTGAGATGTCAATACATGGCCTCATTCCTTGCATTACTTCTTCTGATTCACTGTGGGTCTCTTAATAGCTGTAAGAAAACTTCTGCAATAACCTAGCTGTTTTCCTGCAGCCTAAATCATCTGCGCTGAGGTTTTGCATTAGCTAACATTTGAAAAGGAAGCTGTCAACACACTTCTCCCTCTGAAATTGATAGCTACCCAGCTACACTTGAAGGCCCAGCAGTTCAGCAAGCCTGGGTGATAGCAGCAAGCAAGTCCCTACAGCTCAGCTTGCACCATGTGTTTGCGATCTGTCTTTCCGTTTTTCACAAACATGTCTGGTTCAGCGTGTGGCATCCAATGCATGTGAAGCACATGCAGCTGATCCCCTGGGGTATGTGGGGCCAAGTGCTAACGCACAGATTTCTGAGCCCTCGCATTTTCTTTGTCCCCAGCCCTGCAATCCCTTTGTCTCACCCTCAGAAGCTGTGACATAGCAAAGGACAACTCCATCCCAACACAGGTCCTGAGCACCCACAGTACTTGCTGTTTGTGAGATCCCAAGGTGGACACCACAGACTGGAGACTGCCAGTTCATGCCCCACAAACCATGTCAGTAGCTTGTACACCATAGAGTTTCAGTACTTACAGGTGGACCTGAAATAGAGAAAGAAAAAAAAAAAAAAAAAAAAAAAAAAAAAAAAAGAAAAAAAAAACCACCCAGGAATTAATTTTTAATGCAATAAATCCTAAGGAGGTTGGCTAATTAAATATGTTATTACTGCCTTTTTGGGCTGATACTCATGTTGCTCCCATTTCCTGATGCACTTCCAACCACCTCCTTCGTCCTTAATTAAGATATTCACACAATTAGCAGCATTGCTTGCCAGTCACCACAAGTACAGGGCAGCCCCAGAAAGCACCATGTTGGGAAGGCTGTAAGTCAGCCTGTACGCTCGCTGTTGGTCTCTTGGCACACAGGGGTCTCCTCCTTGAGTGTGACACTGCTAAGCATGGGGGACTCATTACATGCAGAACTCCCCCTCACATCCCACCTGCCCATCAGAGTCAAGAAAGTTAAACCTGGGAAGGTGAGAGCCCCTGTGTTGCTAAGATGCCCACTCATCTGCCATCAGCAAACCCACAGAGGTTCATGAGGAAAACTATAACACATTGTGACAATGTGACTGAACACATTGGGTGCCTTTTCTCCATAGTACAAGCTCATTTTCTCTTTTGCTTTTGCCTCTTCCCATAGGAGGCAATCTGCCCTCTTGGAAGAGATCCCCTCAAAACCTACAGGTTTATTTTTGACTGGAAAGCCTTGCAGAAGCCTTGCAGTGCTTGTGTAGCACTGCATCTCCTTTGTATAGAACCACTGCACCATACAGAAGCACACTTCTTTCATCAGTTCCCAGAAATTTCCTCAAAACCCTGACAGATATTGTGTGCAGAAAGAAATCCCTGGGCTCACTATTTTGTGGTTTCCTCTCTGTGGGAGAATTGAGACACACAATACAACTGTCAGGGGTTTCCACATTTTCCATACTTCCTAGACACTCTTTTTCCCTTTTTTTTTTGTTTTGTTTTGTTTTGTTTGTTTTTTGTCTCCACATCAAGCGCCAAGAGGTAAAACTAAGCAGTATAGCAGGCAAGCTGACAGATAACAGGCAGCAACCCCTACTTTGCACAGGGCGTAGACGTCATGCCGAACACCTGCAGAATACATTGTCATCCTATGAAAATGCCCCTGAATGAATGCCCATAAAGTACAGGAGACTTTAGATGAACAAACATTTTCCGTGTTGGAAAAGTCTCATCAATATGATGCTAGCAAACACTTTGGCTATCTAGCTTCAGTAACCTAAAATTACACGCTCAGTGTTTTTAGTCCTGTGCTCAGCTTTCATCGAGGTTGATCAAAAAAAAAGGGTACTCTTCTCTTAAAATAAAATAATGTTAAGAGTTAAGCATGTTGCTGGGGATCAACAGAGCTAGGGCTGAGCCAGAAGGCTCAACAACTCAAAGTGAGAACAACTCTACCCAAATTTAGGACAGAAACTCAGTGGGAAGCAGATTTGGTTGATCAGCAATTGCCTGCTGCCAGTGTTGGCACTGGTCACTGTCCTACACCATGTGCCACGTCTAAACAACAGAAGAGTTTCTGATCAGAGGTCATTTTTGAGGTCAAGGTTTTGGAGTTCAAGGTCAGATTCAGACCCAGGAATCCCAATTTCTGTCAGACTGAGAGGAAAAAAAAAAAAGTTTTTTGAGTTTGGCTTGGATGACAATGAGGTTCTATGAGAGAACTGTTTTGGAGATATTTTGTTTCGGAGTGAGCACCATGCCACAAGGTCACTGCTTACAGCCTGCCAATACACGGACTTTATTTCCATTAGCAACACTATAGACCCTTAATAATCCGCCTACCCGTCTGCAAGGCTTTGGGGCACCCGTGGGTTGCATGAACCAAACTGCTTAGCTGACATTAATGGCAAACAAACCCTGAGCTACCCCTGCCCTTCCACACCAAATGCAGCTGGACAGAAGCACAACCGGCAGTGGTACTGCAGTACTGCTGAGAGAAAACACGAGCTTGTGTTTGCTCTAGAAGCTGCATCTGCAGAGCAGAGTAAATCGGCAGTGCCGGCAGCTCTGGGTCCATTGGGCTGTGCACCCCACGCAGATCAAAGGCTGGAGGCATACTGGAGGCCCATCTTTGTTATATGCCCTCTATAAAATTAATGGCTACAGAAAGAGGAGCTGTACAGTCTTGTATAAACATGCATCCGTGAGCTACAGGGACACGGCTTTGGCTGCAGTAACTCAGTCATAGAGACCATCCAGGGATCGGGATTCAAATGTTGTGTGATTCGAAAAGCAAAGCTCTGCAGTCACTCCTAAAGGCCATGTTACTTTGCATAGGGTAGGAAGAGGCACTGCTGGAGGAGCTGCCATGGAGCACCAAGGATTTTACAAATTGAAATAATGCTTCAGCAATGTAGATTTATTATGTTCTGTCACAGTGATTAACAAGAAGGTTAAGTAGAGCTTCCAAAGAGGCTCAGTCTTTACTATAACAAGTAGTTTAATGCATATTAGAGAAAAAAGCGAATAAGGTGGGAGGGGGCCTTCACGCCTCTACTCTCACTATCCTTGTGAGCAGAGCTACCAAAACCAAGCAAAAGCCTCTGAACACCTGGGCAGAGCTTGGCAGAGCTCCACAGGCTGCCTGTGTTGCTTCTAACAGGTGAGCAAAGGTGCTTAGAAAAAGCCAGGTGAACTGCAGCAGTCACCATAGAGTCACTACATTTTGAAACCCACCTCGCCAGGGCCAGAGCACTCCTGGTGCTGGTGCAAAGGCTGCATCATGACCAATAGACTGCAACAGGAGGGCTGAAAGGCACGGGAGGATTGTAAGTGATCGCTGTTTATCCAGCTGCAGCACTCATTGAGCAGCAGGGGACAGAGGGATGGGACGGAGCAAACGTGTTGGGAGTGGATGAGTGGGAGGAAGCAGCCAGCCTCCTGCAAAGAGGAGACCTCCAGAGCGCCTCTGAAAAGGAACATTGGAATAACAAAAGTTCTTGTGGGGGTACCTGGGTCCCTCCAAACATATGGCCTCTGGAAATTAGCACCATATGCATCATCACTTCTCTACAGTGCTGGTTTTTAGGCAGATAAAAACTCTCCTTATAGAAGTTTGCCTTTCCTGTAGGCTCAGCAAGTGAAAGAGCAGCCATGGTCTGCAGCCCACCATATTGCACATACAGAGAAGTCATGCTTGCAGTGAGCTGCAAGGCTGTGTCACAGAGCCCTCCATTCTCTTGTCCTTCCTCGTGACCTGTTCAGTGACTCTATCTAAAACAAAACTGCAGTGACTCCTTTTCCCTCAGCCACACAAAGAGATAAAAAGTCACTCTCCAAAGTGCAGCCTCTTTGGGCCCAGAGTAGGGGATGCTTAGTTTTGTAAGTGGGTCATATTTATCCTAATCTGGAAAGTCCCATGTCTCTGTACATTGCATCTTAAAAGCCAGACAGCATTAGAGTGGGTCAGCATGGTGTGAGACCTTTCTGCTGATGGCAGAGATATCTCCTAGCAGTTCTCTCCAGACTGAAACTATTCCATCCATTTAAGGGCATTTCCCAACATCTGGAAAAGTGGCCTTTCTTAAAACACTCTTAAATGCTGATGCTAAATTTTTGTTCCCCTGGCTTCTTGCAGTCAGTCTACAATGTAGGCGTCTTCCAGCTTGCTCCAAACATGAGGAATATTCTCCACATATGAGGAATTTCTTTATACTCCATGGCACAAACAATATAAGGAGGGTAGGGAAAACGCACAAAGATGTTGTCATTGCTTCCTTGGATCATCCTCACTACACACAGCAGCAGGAGGAGAAATGTAAACATGTAATCCATCCCTGCAAGGAAATCCAGCCATTTCCAGAGCCAGAAGGAAGCCATAGCGAGTTAAAGAGATACAGTTACTTCCTGACTGTTCATTGATGACAAGATAGTTATAGCCAGGCAATTAGTTATGAAATGCAGATTAAAATGTCAGCAGCACTAGCACAACCCTACTTGGGGCAAGAAGCCACTTTTAGCAGCACAGCCCTATTTCGGAGCAGGCAGAGCCCCGCTGGGTGCATGGAGCATGGATGGTAGATTTTGCCTGTTTTGAAGACTGGCCATAACGCAGTTTTGAAGACTGGAGAAGTTCTCATAGTCTTCTGGAGATATTTTCCTACCTCCATCAAGGGACAAATGATTCAAGAGAAGGTGGAGGGAGCATTAACTCAGAGAGCTGCAAATGAAAAGGCAAAAATAGCACGTGCCTGCCTGGTAACAATGGAAATACTTGCCATAATCAATAATCTTAGTTCTAAGTTAAATTAAAGCCAACTGAAAGCTTCAAAACAGAAAACTTTTTATCAGCAGTGATTTCCCTGATGCATGGCCCCCAGAAAAGTTGTTTCAGGTAATGTCAGCTATGTGTAAAACTCCCTCCAAAGAGCACCAACCTCTGCCAAAGGCCAGGCCCTGTCCCCAGAACAGCTCCATGCAGCAAGGCAAGAGATTCTTCAAAGAACCACAGTAATGTTGGACAGCAAAAAGGCTAGCAGGATTTCACTGCCAAAAAATGTGACCAACGCTAAGCTGCGGCACCAGGTTATGCCAGTCACTCATGCTTGCCTCTGAAATCAAACCCATGACATCACCGAAGCTCGGCAGTTGATATCAGCAGCTGTTGAGGATAGAAGTCACTGCTCAGGCACTTTGAGCATCCCCGTGCATCACCACCAGCCCCAGCCCAGGAGGAACCGTCAAACAGAGAGCCAGAAAGAAGACCATGTCAAAAGCAAGCAGCAAGGAGGAGAAATAACTAATGAATTTCTCATGGATAAATTAAGATGATTTAACAGCAAATGCAAAAACAGTAGAGGGAGTCTAATAGTGAAGTTAAGCAACGGACTCAAAAGCATCTCTGAGCATCCACATATTTTAAGAAATGCCTAAAAACACAAAAGAAGCCAAATGAGCCTCCAGAGCCAGAAGAGGAAAATCTGGGCCATCCGCAGCAAGTCCATTAGGCAGAGTAAAATGCTCAAAGGCGAGGGATCAGGAACAGAAATACTCTGACAAACATCTGGGAG